ATGGAGACATAGAGTGGGAAAACCATATAAATGGTATCATAAAGAACTCAAACTCCATCATGTACCTGATTTCCACACCCTAGATGTTTGTGAAGCTGTACCAGGCTTACAAAAGACCCAGGCTGGAGTATGCCCAAAGCCTATGGAGTCCTTATTATGTCAAGGACATTGAAAAAGTCCAACGCAGAGCAACAAAAATTCCTCCAGCTCTTCGTGACCTTCCATACCAACAAAAGCTGCAGAGGTTGAACCTCCCTACACTTTATGAGAGACGAAAGCTTGGGGACCTAATGGAAACATTCAAAATAATTAGTGGACACTACAAGTGCCAGTTAAGTGTGTTCGAGCTCAGTGACAGCCAGCATCTAAGGGAGGTCATAACTAGAAACTCTGTGAAGAGAGATGTGCCAGAGGCTTTTGCGTATACAATTGAGTAGTTTATAATAATAGGAATCAACTGAGTCAGGACTCTGTAAATGCATCTTCAGTCAACCGGTTCAAAAACATATTGACATGACATGACTGACTGAATGGACCAGATCATCTGTCATCAGCAGCTTCTTCATAAGACGTTGGCTCTTCAACCTGTGTAAAGAAACTGGCAATTGTGTTACACTCTTGCAACCAGGCTGGCTTTTTAATCATCCTTCTTCCTCTGTTTATAACTGTGTTTTAAAAAACTTCTCAGCACTAGAGAGAGCCCTTTAAACTTTCATACTCGCAAGGAAATGTCCTATCACGCTCGAGAAGCGGCAAGTGCGCGGAAATGTCGGTGTATGTTGGTCTTGAAACGGTTCAGGTTGTAAGCTGCAGGGAAAACCGTCGCAGGGAGTTTATTCCACAGCGATGCTGTTCTCCAGAGATATGAATTCTGATATAATGAGGTTCTTGGTGCCTCTAGTTTGACAGTAAATTCATGGTTACCGTCTGTTTGACGGGTTCGCCTGGTAGGCGCTACTCTCGGTGGAATCATACGTGCCAACTCTTCAGAGCATTTTCCGTGATAGTACCTGTAGAAGAGAGATAAATCGCCCACAGATCTGCGATGTTCGAGACCATCCAAGTTACGAGTAAGTGCGGGGTCATTGATCAGCTTGATAGCTCGTTTTTGCACGGTGTTCAAAAGCATTAAGGTATGTTTGGGTGCTGCACTCCATATATGTGAGCAGTACTCCATAGTTGGTCGAATCTGGGCTTTGTAGAGTGTCAGCAATTGGCTTGGTGTGTACAGATGTCTTGTACGAAATAGCACCCCAAGCTTTTGGGACGCCCTTTTAGCAATATCTGCCACGTGACTGTGCCAAGACATGTTGGTCTCTGCAGTAACCCCCAAGATGTTCAACTGACTCTGTAATGTGACAGCACTTCCAGATAGCATGATGTTTGGCTCACCGGTGCTGGTCTTTTTTGAAAACAGAGCTGCTTGGGTTTTCTGCGCGTTGAACTGTACAAGGTTTTTGTTACCCCAGTCCTCTATTATCTCCAGGTCGTTATTTATCTGCGATATTTGAGTTAGTCTAAGATGATGGAATTCTCGTGCGGAAAGACCTGTGGGTGGTATGAGTGAGGAGACTATATTGCCATCGTCTGCAAAGCAATAAAGTGGATTTACTGTTTTATCTATGAGGTCATTTATGTAAATCAGAAAAAGAGTTGGCGAAAGGATTGCTCCCTGTGGCACACCAGCATTTATTTGGTAAGAGTTGGAGTTCTGGCCATCCAGTGCAACATAAATGGATCTGTCCTTTAGGTAACTTTCAAACCAAGTGCAAAGTTTCGGCGATAATCCCATTGCTTTGAGCTTGTTGAGCAGATTTTCATGCCAAACTTTGTCGAATGCTTTAGATATATCTAAGGCAATTGTTCTTGTTTCACCCCGCAACTCAATCGCTTTTTGCCATAAGTGAGTGACGTATGTAAGTAAATCGCCAGTTGACCTATATTTTCGAAATCCGTATTGCTTATCGTTGATAATTTTGTACTTTTCCAAGTACTTGGTTAGGTGATTGTTCACAACTCTTTCCATTACTTTTGATATCACCGGAAGTAGAGCAATTGGTCTATAGTTTAACGGATCTGTCTTTTTTCCTTTCTTTGGAATGGGTTGTACTGCGGCAGACTTCCATGATGATGGATATACTCCTTGCCTGTAAGACAAATTGAATAATTTTGCGAAAGTTGGGGTGAGTTCGTTGGCGCAATTTTTGAGTACTATTGCGGGAATGCCATCCGGACCCATTGCTTTGTTTGTATCTAGCTTTTTAAGGGATTTTCGTATTTCTCTGTGACAAAAGGGTACCTCTGGCATACTATGGGAAACCCTTTCAATGAACGGTGGAGTTTTTCCGTTTGGCACTGTTAGGTTGGAGTTGGAGGAAAACATTTGGGTCAGCATATTGGCTTTTTCCTCTGATGTTGTGGCTAAGTGATTATTTTTATCTGTAAGTGGTGGTATGGATGACTTGGTGAAGTTAGATCCAACAGCTTTTGCAAGAGACCAAAAGGACCTAGAACTACTTGGACAATTCAGCAACCTGTTTTTTATTCTTTGATTGTATGTTTCTTTAGCGGAGTCAATAGTAATTTTGCAACTATTTCTGGCTTCTATAAATTCTGTGTGGTTTTGAGCGGTTTGTTGTCGTTTCCAAAGGTTATATGCTCTGTGTTTTTTCTGTACAGCCGTTTGACACTGGCTGTTGAACCAAGGTTTTGCATTAGCTCTACGTTTAGTTGTATGTGGGATATATGCGTCCATTCCAGATAAGATTACTTGTGTTATTTCATTACAGCAAATAGTGGGATCAGCTGTTTTAAAGCAAACCTCTTGCCATGGAAAATCCAGGTAAAACTGTTTTAGGTCATTCCATTTTGCCGATTTATAGTGCCACATTTTACGAGGAAGTGGTTGTTGGCTTGGTGGGATGAGCATTTCGCACTTTGTTATTATCAGTTTATGATCGGACGAACCAAGTGGAGCATCTACTTGAATTGTGTACGAGTCAGGATTTGTAGTTAGGAACAAGTCTAAAAGCGCTGCAAATTCGCCCCTTTCTGAGATACGGGTAGGTTCATCGACAAGCTGCGTTAGACCACAACTTATGGCAACTTATGTTCTGCTGTTGCTTGGGCTTTATCAATATAGTAAGTATATACAGTAAGTATCATCGTCTTAATCTTCATCACAGTTTCACTTTGGAACGTCCAAACTAATCCACCTATTTCTATGATTATCGTAGTAGAGGTGTTTTTCTACTCGTCCCATGTGTGGAAAGTATAACCTTCAACAATGATTTGTGTAGAGGATCTTCTGAGCCATAATTCATAGGAAGTCCTACTAACTGGTGCATTAATAAATTTTGCCCAATTCTTTTTCTCTTATACATATATATGCTCCAATTGAATATCTACATTCTGATTCATTATTTAGTTGTCTTTCTTGAACTGGAAGATTTTGCTGTTGAAATATGACGTCGTCAGAAAAATCTTCTTCATATTTGGATATTTGTTCTTCAAAGTTATCATCAGGCTCACTTGCTTGTTGTTCATCATGGGCATCGTGTGAAATCTCAATTTCTTGATTTTTGTTTTGATAATCGAATAATGACGCAAATACTTTCCAGATTATTTTTCAAAAAACTGACCTGAAAATATAACATCTCTAGCTCTGTATAACTTATGTGTTTTTGGATTGATAAGTATCCCATGGCTTCTTCAGAATATCCAACAAATATTATTTTTTGGGATCAAACTTGTTTTTTGTTCTGGTATAAGAATATGGCTTCAATGCCTGCTTTCCGTTTAAAAAGTTAGAAAATAAATTTTCATTTACAACTTGACTACGCATTTAGCTATACCAGCAGCTCCCCCACCAAGAGCTCCCAAAGCAGACAATCCAGCAAATAATGAGATAACGAGTAAAATACATGGAAAGTTGTTTTTTTTCCTCTCTTGCAAGCTGACCTCCATTCTCCAAATTTTCGACCATTGACCATATAGCATGGTCCTCACTGCTTCCACTAAGGTCCTCATTTTCCTCTCAGCGATTTTGTTGGAGATTAGATATAAGCATTGTATAAACAGACTGTTTATACGATAGTTTTACTAATGTCTGATCCAAATCTATCACATTTTGAAGTATCATCATCCTCATCTTCACCATGGTAATTTACTTCTTTTTATGACTCCATGACTTTCTATGAATATCGTAGTAGATGTATTTCTACTCGTCTCATATGTGGAAAGTACATCTTTCAACAATGATTTGTGTAGAGGATCTTCTCAGCCATAATTTATATGAAGACCTACTGGTGTATTAATAACTTTTGCCCAATTCTTTTTCTCTTATCGTTTAGCATATAGCATGATCCTCACTGCTTCATTTAAGGTCCTCATTTTTCTGTCAACTGTGCGATTTTGTTGGGGAGTGGGTGGGTGTAAGTACCTACCTATAAGCTTTGTAGCCTCCATCTAATGTATTTCCCACTGAAAAGCATTGAACCACCTCAGAAACATTCACTGTTGATTCGTTGCCCTTTTCAACCAAATTGGTAGAACCCAAAATGAGTTTTTGATGAAAATTATTTGTCACTCTATTTATTGTTGTTGAAATTCCACGAAATTAATTTATTAATAAATCTGAACAAATAATTATTAATTGCGGAAAAAATCTTCCTATTTTAAAATTAAAATAAACAAAATTAATTAAAAAATTAATAGGTTCTACCAATCGGCGTGCACTTAAAACACCTCGCCACCGCATTTTCAAATTATGGCGAATAGTTATGTATAATTTACAATAATTAACTGATTAACACAATTTAACATAACTGGTCTTGCATACCTGAAGGCGAGATTATAGCGAGATTTTTACTCAATCGTAAGTTATTAGCTCAAGAAGTTGCGCGCTATCTATAGAAATGGAAGCTGAGGTCGTTATATTGGTATAACAACATCAAACAAGAAATAGCCAACCAATAATATTATTGTTTTGTTTATTTCAGATGGCTCCACCAAATCTAGACTCGACAAGTACCAACGAGAATTCCTATACCATAGTACCGGCGTCAGAGAAGCCCCGTGCACATTTTGCAAAAGAAGACGACGAATCGAACGAAAATGACCAGCTATTTGATCAATCAATCAAAAAAGACGAAGACATTTGCTCGGACGATATAGACGTTGTGGTACCACCCGACGGAGGCTGGGGCTGGGTCATAGTTTTCGCCTCTTTTATGTGCAACATGATTGTGGATGGCATCATATTTTCGTTTGCGATGTTCTTGCCAGGAATCGCCGACGAATTTGGAGCGACAAAATCCCAAGTCACTTTGGTAGGGTCTCTGATGTCTGGTTCCTACTTGATGGTTGGACCTTTTGCAAGTGCCATTGCCAATAAGTTCGGATTCAGATTTGTTGCTATTATCGGTGCGTTGTTGGGTTCCAGTGCCTTTGTGGTTTCGTATTTCGCTACTAGTGTTGAATTTTTATGGGTCAGTTATGGATTACTTGGCGGTAAGTTTTTGTCAAGGTATTTTATTGTTTTGTCAATGCCAATGTCAAATTATTGGCTCGAAAAGTGATGCAATGTTCAATCCAACCGTTAAATTGCCTTATGAAGTAGTACTACGACGTGTTGTAAAACAAAAGGTTTATTGATATTCCAAATCGAAACCTTGAATTAATTTTGTGGTTTTTAATGGAATACAATGCAACGGCAACGTATAAACAAGGACCTATGCAATTATTATTAAGTTTTGTTCACACATTTGAGGGGTCGTTTATTCAATGGCTTTTACACTTTTTAATTGTTGCGATCTTGTGCTTTCAACTGTGACTTTGAGATAGCGCCACAGGAATTTTTTCCATAACAATAAGTGATGGAATAGTACCTACATTGTGTATCAAGGGCAGAAAAAAGACGATTCCGACTAGTGTGAAGTCATCGAAGATATCAATACGAGTCGAAATCGGAAATTTGGCCAACATTGTCAATGAGTGTAAAATCTATTATTTCTCTTTCCCTTTTGTCTTCCATCTGTGATGTTATGTTTATAGTTCATTATTCACAATGAGTTTCCAAGAATGAATAATAGCTTAGCAAAAAATCATCTTTTTTCTACTCCTATCTTCAAGATTACTTACTTGACCAAAAACTGCTAAAACTCACTCCAACTCAATTTCTAATGTTCAGCAAAAACACTTTTTTTTAAACGGTTCCATATTTGATCCGCATGTATTTCCCTAAAAGAATTTGGGTGTTGTTTGGTCGACTGATGTGAACTTGGCTGCTAAAATTTAGCAGCCAGACTGCCGAACATTGCCGAATGATCAGTGACGTCAGTTTTTTTTTAAATATTTTATAACTAAAATTTTAAATACCTATGCATGGCTGTACCTGCAATGGTCCTTTTTTTCGCAAGACTATTATAATAGGTAATAATAAATAAATTGGGAAGTAAAACTAATAAATTATTGCGAATAATAAACATCTTTTAGCAAAATTCGGTCGAACATGCACAAATGATACTATGATAGAAGGTAGTACCAATATATACCACTTTTTAGGGTACCTAAAAAGACTTGCAAATAACTTCGAGGGTGGTTTAAGGGGGTAAAACTAATAATTGGCATTTATCGAAAAAAGAGTTTTTGTGAAAATATGGATATTTCCACTCTAGTGTCGGGTACAAATGCTACAAGAAGTTATAGGCAGTACCGATATATACCATTAAGGGTACCTTATAAGACTCGCAATAAATAACGATGAGGGTGGTTTAAGGGGGTAAAACTAATAATTACGATTCATCAGAAAAAGGGTTTTTGTGAAAATATGGACATTTCCACCCTAGTCACGGGTACAAATGGTACTGGAAGTTATAGTACCTAGATGACTTGCAAATAACTTTGAGGGTGGTTGAAGGGGGTGAAACTAATAATTGCGATTCATAAAAAAAAAAGTTTTTGTGAAAATATGGACATTTCCACCCTAGTCTCAGGCACAACTGGTGCTGGAACTGCTGGAAGTTATAGGCAGTATTAAGATACACCGTCTAGGGTATCCTAAAAGAATTGCAAATAACTTTAAGGGGGGTTTAAAATGGTAAAAACCAGTGGCGTAACTATGCTGGGGTGGCAGTGTGCAGCGCACAAGGGCCCTTATTGGCTTAAGGGATCTTGGGCGGATTTCTCAAGCTTCCTTCCAACTTAATTTCAAGCTAACTCGCGCTCACGAATCAATTCGAAACTTCCATATCCATCCGTTTTTTTCGCATGATCTGCGAACCGGTTTGCAAACGCGTTCGTAGCCCCGTCCACAATAGTGTTTCGTTCGTTGTTCGGCGTACGTTAAGCTTCGTACAGACTTGAACATTACGCCGAACAACAAACAGAACAACGAACCGAACGGCAAGGCAATCCAAACACTAATTTGAATTCGGATGGGGCTACGAATGCGTTTGCCAACAGGTTCGCAAATCTTGACCGTTCTGTTTGCGGCGCTCCCTTCTCGGTTTTTTCACCGACATCAGAGAAAATGCGCGCAAATGAAATACGATTGCAGGTTTGGACGGGTCAAAAGAAAACAACGAGAGGTAGATTGCAGGTCAGTTTTTGTATACCAGATTGCAGTTTTAGGGGAAATCATGGATGATTTCCCATAATTACCCCTGATTTCCTCTGATTTCTGCTGATTACCCTGCTGATTCAAATTTGACCCGAGATTTAAACTTTTTGGTCTTGGCACGTTGCTGTTCAATTGGGTCTTGCGTTTGTCACAAGGTCTGTTAGGAAGCTTAGAAGGCCTCTTTGTCGGTCTGATATTTGAAGATGGATTTCAGTGCTTATTCTGCCAATCTTTTCGTCAAGCATATACAGTGAAGATTTTTTATTAACATACTGTCTATCGTTTAAGGTAACCGGTAAAAATGAACTGTCTTTCGATGAAAAATCTTTCTGCGGTTTCACGTATCCTCGGAAAAATCCTTCAATTCAAGTTGTTCTCCAAAGGACACGGAATTTAAAATATTGCCTATATCTGCTCGTATTTCTTCAATGGCAGCATTTTTTTCTTTTTCATATTCCATCTCTAATTCATTTACGACTCTTTCCGTCGAAATTTCAGTATTCTCTAGCATTCCATTATCTAGTCATTTATCTGTTATATTGTCATTTTCTGAGTCATTTTCATGGGAATCTATCATATTTTCCTCTATATTTCTTAAAGGATTGATAAGATGTTGACAGCATTTTCAATAACTGAAATCCCCAATTCCTCCATATCAATAATTGCGCCTGACATGGCTTCAGTAATAATTTTTCCGACATCATCATCAGAGATTTGTTCAAAACCATCTTTCACAGTCTGAGAATCTGTCCTCTTTTTTTTTCTCTTGGAAACACAAACTCACGATTTAGATCTGTCATTATATTGTGTACAGTTTGAACTGGGTCAATTCGATGTAGAATATCTTTCATAGAAAAACTACTGTAGAGTATGTCGAAGACATGGACCTCGTAACCCTAAACAACTTTTCACAAGTTTGGCTACTGAAGAGCCATGGTGTAAATGATTCTGAAGTTATATTCTTGCTGTTGAAAAATCTTATTATTATTATTTTATTTAGGGAGTGGCCATTAAGCTCAATAGACAGATAACAATTCTGAGCACTTATAATTTTATTTTGATAATGGACATAACAAAACGTAACATAACCTCAATTTCTAAATATTTTCGAAAACTGCGCATGGGTTAGATCTAGAGATTGACTGATTGCCCTAAGTTTTCCTATAATTTCCTTAAGATTTCCCCTGATTTCCTTGAGATTTCCCCTGATTTCCTTAAGATTTCCCCTGATTTCCACTAATTGCATTTGATTGCCTCTGATTTCCTCTTGATTTCCTCTTGAATTCCCCTGATTTCCCCTAATTTGTACTTTAGATTTCCCTTGCGGTTTACCCCTCGAAAAACAACGAACAGATCTTTGCGAGACGCCTTAGGGAATTTCCCAAAATTAAAATATGGATACAGAGGAATGTAAAAAAATAACCTCCTCATCAGCATCATTTCGGCGGGAAATTTTCAAAATTAAAAAAAGTCTAGGAACTTCTAGTACTATCTGTTTTTCAATTTTCGGACAGGACCTATTTTGTTTAACAAATATTCAAAGTCGGAAGGTTCATCCTTGTATTTTTTTTTTGTAATTTATGTCCCCTCACAGCTTGAAACTTCAATTATTCATGCACTGATTGGAAATTTCTGCATTTCTTTATGCTAAAAAAAAGTGTGTTTGTCACCATCTTCTCGTTCTTCGCGATATTGATGGACAAGGGCCGAAAAATCCTAGAGACGCCACTGGGTAAAACTGATAATTGCGAGTCATCGAAAAAATGGTTTTTGTGGAAATATGGACATTTCCCCCCTTGTCTCGCGTACAAATGATACTGGAAGTTATAAGCAGTACCAATATACACCGTTTAGGGAACCTGATTTGACTTGCAAATTACTTTGAACGTGGTTTAAAGGGTTTTTGTAAAAATCTGGACATTTTGAACCAATAGTCTAGGGTTCGAATGGCACTGTAAGTTAGAAGCAGATAGCAGATTCTACATTTGATATTTCAGTTTCAATTTACCCCTTTAAACCCCCTTAAAGTAATTTGCAAGTCAAGTGAGGTTTCCTGAACTATCTTTAACTCCCAGTACCATTTGTTTCCGAGACTAGGGTGGAAATATCCATATTTTCACAAAAACCCTTTTTTCGATGAATCGCAATTTTTAGTTTTATCTCCTTAAACCACCCTCAAAGTTATTTGCAAGTCTTTTTAGGTGCCCTAAACATTGTTTATTAGTACTACCTATAACTTCTAGTACCATTTATGCATAATGGACTGAATTTTGCCAAAACATGTTTATTATTCGCAATAATTTATTATCCCCGAATTTATTATATTTATTATCATAATAGTCATGTGAGAAAAAGGACTATCACAGGTTCACCCATGCATAGGTATTGAAAATTTTATGGAAAGTTATAAAATTAAATAAATTAAAAAAAAAACTGACGCCACTGATCTGGCAATGTTCGGCAGTTTGGCTGCTAGCTTTTAGCTGCCAAGTTCACATAAGTATTTGGTCGTTTCTGCCTCATTTCTATGGGGTATACCATTTAAAACGAAACAGGCTAAATATCTTGATGTCACTTTTTTTTTTTTTTTATAATCGCTCGTACACGTAATTTGATTGTGTGAGTCTTTTTCAGCAGTAACTCAACCCTCTAGGAGGGGAGGGACCAACCCTTACCATCTCAAATGGAACAGGAAGTCGAGTGATAACTGTTTTAGAAGAGCGTTCAATTTTCTTTCAAATCAAATTGAACGCTCTTTCAAAAGAGGTATCACTCGACCCCTTGTTCCATTTGAAATAGTAAGTATTGGTCCCTCCCCGACCAGAGCGTTAAAATTAAAGTGCTAAAAATAGTTGCAGAGTACTTCCCCCTCTGAAAATCAAATTACGTTTAGCTACGAGCGATTTTTTCAAAAATAAACGTGGCATCAGATTAGGGCTTCGCAAGACCAAGACCAAGACCAAGACTGGCCAGTCTTGGTCTTGGTCTCGAAAAATAAATGCTGTGTTGGTCTTGGTCTTGATTTTTCAAGACCAAGACAAGACTGGCTCAGTCTTAGTCTTGGTCTTGATAGTCTTGGTCTTGGTCTTAATAGTCTTGAAAAAAATGTATACCAAATTTTTAAAATATACCTAACATATAATAAGAACAGGTTTAGGATTTCATAAATAAAAAATAAAACTCCCTTCCTGAAAAAAATTTTGCCGACGTTTCGACCATGCATTTGGTCTTCTTCGCAGGTTATTTCTACCAGCAAGACCGTTTCATGTCCAAAAATACCGCATAAAGCATTCCACAACACAGAGGAACGAAAGAGGAAAAAAATTAATTTCCATTTGAATCATAAGAATAAACCTACCTTACCTACCTCAGCATTCAGATTTGGGTTAGTTTGGGTGAACTGTGGGGTTTGTGTACCTAATTATCAACTATCTTTGGAAATTCCAAGCTACAGACAAAAATGCACTCTGGCTCCTTCGATTTCGCGCGGTTATTTAAAAGTAAATCTTAGTCGGTGAGTACATTCTCTAATTTTTTGGTATTTGTATATTTGGTATTTGTATATATTACGGGCAATGGTCAATGTAAATAATTGAGTCGATTTTTCTTTTCTAGACCAAGACCAAGACCAAAACGAGAGTCTCGAGAGAGAGTCTTGGTCTTGGTCTTGAACATCAAGTCTTGGTCTTGAGAAGATTTATTAGGTCTTGGTCTTGGTCTCGGTCTTGGTCTTGCTACCAAGATAAAGACAAGACCCAGACTAGTCTTGTGGTCTCGTGAAGCCCTACATCAGATATTAAGCCTGTTTCGTTTTAAATGGTACACCCTGTAAATACAAAAAGTAGTGAATGTATCGAACAGGACACGAAAAGAAACAAAACAGGATTTAATTGATGTAAACTGTAATTGCATTCCGATAATAGACGTCACCGTGTGCCTTTCTATACAGCAAATAATAATTTCACGTATTAATCAAACTCAAAGAAACTCGATGGTCCAATAATATTGGTTGTTTGAAGAATTCGAAATAATTTTTCATAATAAACCACAGGTTTATAGGTACGTATGCATTATAAAAATGTAGGTAGGAAGCTAAATGTTTATTCATCACCTAATAAAACGACATAATAAACTGTGCTCTGGGATTATTGACTACCTAAATATATAATTTTGTATTTTTAGAATTATTTTATTATTCTACAGAGTGACAAAAAAGCATAGTAGTCTGAAGTAGAGTTCTCTTAATGTATCTCAAAATTCGCTTGAGCTTAACACAATCATCATCATTTGGTTTATCAAGTTTCCTATAAACTAGACTAACAGTATATGCCAAATCAGGACGACTCCCACACATCAAGGAGATAAGAGTCCCAACACCTTCTCTACATGGAATGTCATTTACTGGTGATGTTATTTTTGGGTTTGAAGCTTTTTTAGTACCTATTGGTACCTATAGTAACTTTTGTTCATTCCAAATCTTGCCAATAGTTTTTGAGCACTTAGATTGACAATAATAATGAATCGTTTCCTTGTTTCCTATTTAAAACACATGGATCTGCATCAATTGTCTTGAATTCCATATTTTTTCAAACATCCACAAAGCCTATAAAGACTTCTCTTTAATCTAACTTGCTGACGTTGATTTTCATTTATGTTGGTGTCTTCGCTATTCTTTAGCAGTTTCGAAAGGGAATCAAATGGAAAAACCGCTATGATACTGGAAGTTATTATCTATTATTTTTGAAACCTGATTTGAATAAAGTTGTTTTTCATCTATCGTCACATCTCTTGAATGAATCAATTCCTTTGTTTCTTCACACCAAATTCGATAACCATCATCATTTTCATATCCAACTAAAATTCCCCTTTTTGGCTTTCTTATCAATTTTTCTTCGTTTGGATTTTGGAACATGAACAGAACATGCACGACCAATGTACCAATAACTTTGTTTTTTCTGTTTCCCAGAAACATACCAGACATTAACTAGAACTAATCTGGAAGTTACTCCATTAACAAAAGCCTCTACTTCAATAGTTCCTGTACCCAATGCTTTTATTCTGTTTCCACTCGCTGTTATCACAACATGATCTTCATGAAAAGTCTCATAATTTTTGAATAAATCTCGTCTGTTGCAAATGTGATTAGTTGCTCCGTTATCAACATATCAGTGTTCCCCATCAGCAACTTGAAACAAAATTGTTGATCTACTTCCTGTTCTTGTACACACTTATTCTCATTTCGATTTGATAAAGCTTTTTCAAATTCGCAAAGGTAAGTTGTTAAATCCTCAACGGTTCGTTGATATTTTATCTTCAATATTCAACCACTTTCAAATAAAAAATACTCTTCTGACAAGGATCCAAGAATCATACAAATCAACAGCAAATCAGGCAATTGACAACTATACATTTATTACCTGAAACAAGTTTTTCTTTGCTAATTTCATTCTGCAAACTATTCCATAGGGTTTTCAGTTTTCAAATATGAGAAGCCATATCATATTTACTTTCTCTCCTATAAATGAAGAACTCCGTACAAAAATCATACGTTTTTTCCTCCATAGCACCATCATAAAGGCAAATCAGCTCATGTCACATTTTTCTGGCTCAGGAGAATCTCATTATTTTTTAGGTAGTCTCTTGCGTCATATTTACTGTTAACAGAAGTAAGACCTGAGTGTCTGCTTGGGTAAACAACTTCAGTGTATCCTCATATTTTCCTTTTTCTTCTTCACTTCCAGTTTCTAATGGAAAAGTACATGGTTTTGTTAGTTTTCCCTCAACAACATCAACTGCTCCAAAAATACTGCGCGGAGCATTATTAAAAATTTAAACTTCCATGTTTGCCAACTGGATTTCCAAACTAATTTGCACTTTGGTATAACATCCATTTTTTTTTTAAATATCAAATAAGATTTCTTCAAAAACAAAGTTGGTCTGGATCAATGATACATTGTCTAGACGGCTACCAAACCATCAGAATTGACAGAAAAAATTCAACCAGCTAGAAATCTTGAGAATAATTTACTGAACAACTTCCATTAAGGTCACTTTTTTGTATAAGAGGTAATTAAAAAGTTACAGCTAATATGCGTGACTTTTTTGCCAATCTGTATAATACATTTATTTCATTTGATATTCTATTTCCAGGTATCGGATTCGGATTCATCTACGTACCATCGGTGATAACTGTAGGATTCTATTTCGAAAAATGGAGGGCTCTAGCAACTGGAATAGGAGTATGCGGATCTGGAATAGGAACCTTCATTTTTGCCCCCCTAAGCGAATCCCTAATCGATAGTTTAGGGTGGAGAAGTGCCTTATTAGTCCAGGCCGCAATTGTACTTACTTGTATTATTTATGGCTCGTTGTTCAGGTACAATATAAACTTCTATTTTTCATTGAATCACAATTAATTGGATTATTTGTTTATAGGCCACTCAAAGCAACAAAACTCAAAGACCTAGATGAAGAAGACGAAGAAGAAAACCTAAAACCAACAGAACTAATAATGGACTCATCGAAACTGCCAACAGTAACAAGACTAAAAATGGAAGAAGCCCTGAAAAACATGAAAAATATGGACCATCAAACTTCAATATCGAAAATCTTTGGTGCGCACAACAATTCAGAACATCCGAGATTGTCAGACGTCTATCACACAGTACATGCACCATCCAGAACTTATACAGTCCATCTACCTTCAAGGGCCTACTTCAAAGAAAAACGCTCCAGTGTACCATTTGTATTACCAAGTGAGAAACCAAAACAAGCTTTAACGATGACCAAATCGAATTTGATAGCAAGAAGGGCTGAACTACTCGAAGAAATGAATAGACCTTTGTATAGAGATGATATATTTTTTGGCCAAAGCCTTTCCAGATTGCCTCAATACACGTCGCATGGCTCAATCGCCTATAATTTACAAGTAACACGTTTGCCAACTAAACAAGATATTTTAGAAGAAAAACGACATTCAATCAAACTATTCCCGGAGGCTGTTAAAAGAGCTTTGGCAACCATGTTGGATTTCAGCCTACTCAAAAGTCCTAGTTTTATAATATTAGCCCTGGGTGGCTTTTTCACCATGATGGGCTTCTACGTACCTTTTATGTACTTAAGGGATAGGGCCGAAAATATCGGCGGCATACCGAAACAAACGGCAGTATTATTACTTTCTTCCATTGGCATTTCGAATACGATGGGCAGGGTACTGTGTGGCGTACTCAGTTCTTTTCCTTCGGTCAACGGGTTGTTCGTCACCAATGTTGCTCTTACCATTGGAGGTGTGGCTACGATACTTAGCGGGGTGTCACTTTCTCAGGAATATCAATTTTTTTACACTGTGGTTTTTGGATTGTCGATTTGTAAGTATTTAGAATTATGGGTTTAAGGTGGTTTTATGATTGGTTTTTCAGTGGACGGGTACCTATTTAGGTTAACTAATAACTATCATTGGGTAACCGATAGCTGAACTAGATAACCGTTCACTGATAAACCGGTCCTTAATCGAATAAAGCAGCTCTTACTCAAATACGAAAAGATGCTGAACTTTTCCCCAATATATGTTAGACTTGAAAATGATGTACTTGGATGCCTTAACTTATTGTTCTTTTTGAACAAAGTTTACGGATGCATTTGAATATGTAACTTTTGTTAGTGTGAAAATGAAGTCTGGAAACTTAAAAGTTAACTTCTGAGCGACCCTCCATCTCGAACACCCCTGCACAGTTTGGTCAATAAATAAAGTTTCAAATAGAAAGTTAAAATTAAATAAATGTATGTGTACAACTTGGGCAACCAACACAGATAGACATTACAGTAAATAAAATTTGTATCATCAACATTTAGGAGAGCGATCCACCTCCGGTGTATCTCATAGGATGCCAAATTGTTGCAGATTGATATTTTATCCTGTTACGACTTTGCTCAAAAAATTGGAGCTTCCAAGACTAAAAACGACTACTGGCAACGTCGGTTTTGTAAGATATCCACATATTTTCTCAGATTACCCGGAAACCCCTAAGGTTTCTTAAATCTCCCAAGATTTTCTAGATATCTCTAATTTTCCAAGGATTTCATAGAATACCACAATACCAGCACAGCCAGAACACGGAATACCTGGTAACATGATATCCTCTGGGAATATACTCAATCAATAGAAAATTAAATTCTGAACGCGTGCACGGTCTCACTCAGTAAGATATGAGATCTCCTGAGATTTCCTCGATATTTCTCAGATTTCCTTCAAATTTTACTGAATCTCCCCCAGGATTGGCATACACAAAAACTCAGTGGGTTTTTGACACAAAACCAGCCATCAATATTGACAAAAACCCAGTGGGCTTTTTAAGTCAAAAACTCTTCCATACAGAAATAATTATTAACTGAATAAATTGAATAGAGGTTGAGCATAAAATTCTTTCTTTTTCTATCACAGGTTCTTGGTCTTGAATTTTCTTTCATTGAAGAAATTTAGAAGGCAAGAACCTGGAGTAGACAAAAATTGTGAACAAAATTCCCTCTTTTTTCGTTTCAAGTTCTTGAGTTGTCCTCTCTTGGAAGAAAACATGAAACTGAGAGCCTGGAATCGACAGAAATTGATTTGGAGAATTTGAGAAATGACCTCCCAAGATTTTCCTGGAGAGTTTTGGATTACTCCTGCAGGGTGTACACGGGATATCCTATTGTGAATGACCCCTCGGATTGGCATGTCAACGCGCCCAATATCATATGAATTAGAGGCAGATAGATAGATAAACGAGTTAAGGGCCTCACACACTATATTCTTTATCGTCGGTTTTCATCGCCGGGTTGAAACATGACGATCTCAAACCGTGTGTGGTAGTTACCGTTATGTCTCACGACGTGTGGGTCCAACTGCCAAAAAATCCCGTAGTGTGTGGTGAAAACAGGCTGACGATGAAAACCGACGAGAAAGAACGTAGTGTGTGGGGCCCTTTACTCCCGTGCGCATTCTGCATTATTTTGGTCAGCTCACCTCTCCTTCTCTTCACAACAAACATCAGTTTATAAATGAAATGCGGTGTCTATCTGTGGTAAGATGTCATTGGTTACAACTCCCCCTCTCCTATGAAAGGGGAGAAAGTTACAAAAAATCGTTCGAAAGTTTGGCAATCTCAGAACGACCCTCTATAACTTTCCTTCTTATCGTAGAAGAGACGGAGTTGTAATGTACCAAAAGCTCCATTCACATCAGTGTATCATATTTGCGGTTGCTTTTAAGATCAATCTAACTTCAAAAAATTATAAAAAAATATTTTTTTTTTTTGTAGCTTGTTTCGCTTCACTCAGGTCAATCATCGTAGTGGATCTCCTCGGCCTAGAACGACTTACCAATGCCTTCGGCTTACTTCTGCTCTTCCAAGGTATAGCAGCTATGATCGGTGCTCCCTTAGCTGGAGCTTTCATGGAAGCCACCGGTAGCTACGACGCGTCGTTTTACTTATCTGGCAGTATGATTCTTATATCTGCTATCATGTGTTATCCATTGAATTGGATCAATCGCTGGGAAGTGAAAAAGAACGAAAAACTAGCGATGATGGAGAATGCATAACAGTGTTTTTGAGGCATTGGCTTTTAATAGCCAAAGAGTACAAATGTGACTTGGAATTAGAATCCTAATATTGCTTTATTTACCATTCACTTTGTACAAGAAAAAATCATAAAATCACTAGCATACTTTACAAGATTATTAAATGGAATTTTAAACATAATACCCAAATAGGCAAAGTATCATTAAAACATTAATAATACGGGTGTAACACACTATAATTACCTAACTCTTAGACTATAGTCTAAGACTTAACAAGTACAGCATATAAGAACTTTTTTAATTTTAATTATTAGTTGACAATTTCTTAGTTTGTAAAGTCCCCTAAGACTGATGTAGGATAGGAACCTCGCTTTTTATTTTGTAAATATTTTAATTTTGTGTTTTATTTTTGAATGTATTTATTTTATGCTTTAGGATTATTTAGTTAGAATTGTTAAAAAGTAGAACATAAATTTTATTGAATATAAACTCTTTTATTTTGGTTATAGTTCTAGTCCAAACAATTCAAAATATTTATACGAATAGCAAAACCTATTTATAGTATAATTGTTGCAACTTTTGCAGTTTTATTTTTGAAAAAATTCAAATAATTGGAATAAATATAATATTTGGTATTTTTATTAAATGTTCTTTCCATTATAACCACCAACCACTTCTTTTAAACTTAATTACTATAAATTTACTTAATAATTACGATTATCTTCTCCGGTTTTTCTCCCATCTAAGCAAGCGTTCTATGGGAATTATAATTAAACCGCTTATAAGTAAGATTATGCCAGTAAACAGGATTACATAAGAAAACTGGCCCGTTTTGTAATAAATCAAATTGCCTACAGGAGTTGCCGAAAAGGCCGCTAAAGACTGGAAAATCATATTCCATCCGAAGCAATTCGTCAAGTTTTCTAGACCGAATAATTCGGCAAATGCTACAGCTCTCAGTACAGCAAAGGTAGCTACAACAAAATATCAATATATCAAGAATTCCTTATAAATATACCTATGCATATGATGCACTTGGGAATTCTAAAGGAGGGAACACATTAGACGTTGCGATCTCGTAAACGGTCGCAGAGTCTTGCTAGAAATTTTCTGGTGAATCAAGCGAACACTCTATTCATGATCGAAGCTGCGAACTTGAACATTCCAGCAAAAATGTTACCAAATCTTGTAGTGACAATAATCGTCTAGTGCGTTTTCTCCTAATCCCAATCTCATATTTACCTCTTTCAAAAAACTCACCAATTGTAAATCCAAATAGTCCATACGCTATTGAAAATTGTATAGGGGTAGATAGAAAATACGAAGCTATCACAGATATACCGCTAATACTTATGCATACCCAACATGTAACATGGGTGTCCAAAGCTGGAAAGCACGACATCTACAAAAAAAACATTCAAATTTCGAACAAAAAAAGTTTTTAAATCATTACAATACCACAAGCGGCTCTTCCCACCGTATTCGGAATACCAATAACCGAAATTAGTATTCCGTTGAATTGTGGATCCAGACCTTTCTCCCGACCATAGGACGGTATGTACGTAAAAACTAGATAAGTGCCCATCAGCGACAAATAACCACTCACAAGTAACAATACAAAAGCCGGAGATTTGAGCATGTGAAAGTCTAGCATCGTTACTAAAACTCTAATAACAGCGTCTGGACAAATTACGCAGCGGCCTTGTTGTTGTAAATCTCTTTGAGTTGCTGCTCTAGTAACCGATAAAGTATATGCCAAAGATGGATAACCCTGGAAACAATGACTGATTCAATTGTACTGTGATCATTAATATTTTTACTCTTGATGTAGCGGCAGTTTGTCTCGATCCAAATCGTGAATTCCTCAGTGTAGCTGCAGAAACTATGGAGCCAGTATAAAAAATATCGTCTCTGTATAAAGGCCTATTCACGTGCAAGTTGTTTACAGAGACCGAGGCGTCACGAGCCCGAGTGCAACAAGGACTACAACTATAATTATTGAATGTTTCACAGCAACCAGTGAAACGTTCATTGAACGATTTCCTAATGTTTCTCTGCACTATTTCTCTGGGCGCTTCAGATTGCCGACGCGATCTATTATCCTCTGTCATATTCTCGCTTTTGTCACTCGGGTCATTTTCGTCTGCACGCAAGAACGTTGACAATGTGTCATCAACATCTCTAATAAGGATTAAAAGTTTCTTCAGCTACTATTTAACATCATTAAACGTACCTTTGCATATATAGGCTGTAAACAACACTGCTAGCAACACTACCTCTCATCATTGTCTCTGGAAGCAAACTTGCTTCGGATATTGTGGGAAACAGGGCGTTTTTAAAACGCCGAAAAAACGCTACTATTCCAGTCATTTCATTATCATCCTCAACCAATTCTAGAATCAAACTGATCAACGTAAACTACAAAGACACCCTTCGATTACTTACTAGATTCAATTTCTTCAACTTCTCCAAACTGCACAAACCTGTCGACTTTGGTAGCTTTGAGCGGCCTAAAAGTCCAACCCAACAGTCCGCATATAACAAACATCCCGGAAAAATACCGGAACTTGGTTCTCCAAGTTAAATGTTGGAGAGCTTGTACGATGACTGGAAAGCATGTGACTCCCAAAGAACTGCCGCAGCATGTGATGGCCATTGCCAAAGCTCTCCAGTGTTCAAAATAAAACCCTATGGCTATTAGAGAGGGTGTGTACATTAAGTTGAAAGCTGTGCCGCCTAGTATTCCTAGAACTACTAGTAAGGCGACTAGCGATTTTGCGTAAGAAGCTGCGCAGAAAGCTATGCAGGATAACAAACCGCCTAAGAAAGTTATTTTTTGAAAGCCGAATCTGTTTACTGAGGAACATGTTATGGGACCTAGAAAAAAAAAAGTTCTATTAGGAATTTAGAATAGTAGGAGTGCCAGTCAATCGGATTTGTACTCTGTGGGGGCTAAGAAGTGTCACAAGCTACATTGTTAATGTACCTATTGATTGCTTGAAATATTTTTCAAAAGTTTCCAATTCTGAGCCTGAAATCCATTCGCGGTTTGTTCTGTTTGATACAGACCCTACTCTATTGAGTAGGTTCAGTCAGGATTTATCAATCCTGAAAGTTTGAATTCCCTCTGATTACTTGAAGTATATTTTCTAGAAGCTTATTCTAATGGTGATTTAATAGAAATTTTACATGATTTTTTTTGCATCTACGTGAGAAAAAGATCATAATTCCAGTTCTGAGTCTGAGATCCATTCGCGGTTTGTTCTGTTTGTGAATAAGACCCTCCTCAATAAATCCTGAAAGTTTGAAGTCCTTCTAATTTCTTGAAGTATTTTTCTTTTAACTTTCGATTAGTTGATGGTACCCTCTTTAACAAAATGTATTTTTTACAATGTGATGTCAAGATAATAAAAAAAATATATACATTTTTGCAAAGTAGAAAAATCAAGCCTTCTGGCGATGACAAAATATACAGGGTGTTTCATTGAAAATAAGGCAGTAATTTTATTTCAAAAAATCGCATGTCTGTAAAACCAAACTTTAGCAAGTACCATATGAAAGCCCCATAATAGGTGGCAATGTTGCGATGATTCGAAAATTTCTTCAGCACGTTGATTTCCAATTTGATTTTATCTTCTTCGTCCTCGTCCATCACTTTGATGGCGGTCAATTGACCGGTTTTCGTATGACGACCCTGGGCTGGGATCACGACAACTAGAATTCCACTTTCATGACGTCACCCGCGACCTGTTTATCGCGTACAATATAATGTAGGCGGTGCCTAACAAGCATAGGCGTACCATTTCAAATACTAATTTGTGGAAAATTGTGAGAGGATTTAGTGCAGATTTAGACAGTAGAATTCTACTTTCATGGCGTCATCGCCTGTACTATACGCGATAAATAGGTCGCGAGTGACGTCTTTAAAGTAGAATTCTACTTGTCGTGATCCCAACCCTGGAAAAAATGCGCCGAGAATAGTTTAAAATTATTTCCATGGCCTACTAAGACGTTACTGGGTTGCCAAATATCACTTGAGAAGAAAAAAGAAGAGTTATTGTATCACTTGGTTCTGTTTCTTACTAATAAATGATCGTTAGTTGTTTTTTTCTCATTATAATTTTAACTATGCCGTCTATGCCCGGTTTAAGCTTACTTTTCATGCATCCGTTTTCCGACGAAATATGTCCGAAAAATCTTCTATTTTGACATATTTTCATACGATTATGTCAGAATAGAATGTTTTTCGGACATCTTTCGTCGGAAAAACGGATGCATGAAAATCCACCCTTATTCGTCTTCAGTTAAACTAAGGGCCGGTTTATTAATAGAGGGTTACCCCATGAGTTACGGATAACCTTGGGTCAAAATTGTGACGAGTTTTTATTCATCCAGGGTCAACAGCTAACTCGAAAGTTATTCCAGGAAAAAGTTAACACGCACTCTCGCGGTAAGTTAGCGTATTTGACCCGGGGTTAACCTAAACATTTTCTCTTATTTTCTATCTGATTTTTTTTGAAAAGTGCTGGTTTTGGCTTGAATTTAGATATTGTGAAGAGATGGAGGACCTGGTTTTTCAGTGATGATGGTCAAGATGTTCTAGAATGTCTGGAACATACATGAGCGGCGCCTCTACTACAGGCACCTAAGGTATCGGTCAAATCCCTTTGAGGATTTTGACGACGTCCACTTCTTCGCACTTTTCCGGACGCATTTTAGGTCATGAAAGTATCACTTTTCCGCACTAGTGCTTTTCTGTTTTTTTCCGCACTCAGTGCGGAAAAGTAGAATACCTGAAATGTTTAGGTATACAGGTACTTACAGGTAAACAGGTATACTACAGGTACAGGTACGAAAAAGTGAAAAAAAAATCATAAATTGATAAATTTGTAGGTTAAAATATTACCTTTCATCTCGTAGAAAAAATAGTGTTCCTAACTCGTGCGGAAAGTCTCTTTTCCGCACTAGTTAGGAAATAAATATACTATATTTATTCTAGAAAAAATCGAGCATAGACTTGAATTCCCAACAAACCTATGTTTTTTGAGAATTCGAGTATAATATTTATTTCTACACAGAATACACGAAACCAAACTTTTCGCTTTCCGCTAGTGGGTATTCACATCAAATAAGTAGCATGCGATCTACGACTTACTGCTAGAAAGCAGGAAGCATACTAATACGTCTGTTTCTGCAGAAATCACAAACTAGTCGGAGCAAATAACCAATGAAATTCACTCTGACTGGTTTGTGATTTCTGCAGAAACAGACCATTATTTTCGAACCTTGACCTAGAAATATATGCCTGGTTTCACACCGGAGTGATTGGAACATGTAGATATATTTTGATAGTTTGCGACGTACTTGCAAGACGCACAAACGTTGTTTATTTTTGACTTGTTGCGTAGAGGTGTATCGATAAATATGGCAACACTGTGTGACTTTGGTATGAATGTAAACATGGAAAACGCATGACATGATATATGCCTTTTCAAATCGCTTTCCGTTTGAATTTTGCTTTGCAAGTGTCGAATTCAAAAGGATGAATATCCGAATGTGTTGATATGTGATTTCCAGATGGTCTTCTTCATTTGAATTTTGCTTTGTAAGTGTTACGTTCAAAAGATTAAATATCCAGGTGTGATAACATGTGCCTCTTCAAATTGCTTTTTCGTTTATATTTTACTTTGCAAGTGTCACATTCAAAAGGATAAATATCCGAGTGTGTCACCATGTGCTTCTTCAAAATGCCTTTTGTTTTAAATTTTGCTTCGCAAGTGTCACATTCAAAAGGATGAATATCCGAATGTGTTAACATATGTGCATTTTCCAATTGCCTTTTCGTTTAAATTTCACTTTGCAAGTGTCACATTCAAAAGGATAAATATCCGAGTGTGTTAACATGTGCCTCTTCAAAACACCTTTTCGTTTAAATTTCACTTTGCAAGTGTTGCATTCAAAAGGATATACATCCGAATCTGTAAACATGTGCATCTTCAAATGGCCTTTGGTATGAATGTATACATGGAAAACTCAAGTTGCAACGTGCTCCCTGCTTTCTAGCAGCAAGTCGCACGGTGGCACGTCGCATGCTAGTCATGCTACTTTGGTATAAATGCCCTACGGAAACGAAAAAAAAAAAGAAAAAAATAACATGATTAAGTAAGGTTATGAGCAGAAAATGTGAAAAAATAAATAAAAGTGAGCTGGCAACGTTGCATAAGTAGTGCCAACCTTCGAATAACCCGAGAGTTTACCAGCCCTGGGATAAAGAAGCTTATGGCGTTTCCGATTGGTAGATCTAGTGCAGAACTAGTGCAATTTTTTCTATTTATGTCTTTTTCTTCTACGGGTCGATTAAAAGGATGCAAATACATTCAGTGCGCACTGAATCTACCAATCGGAAACGCCATTAGATAAACATTTTTCGACTTAACTAGCTAGTTAGCCCAGAGTTAGAGTTGATTCAGTGTCAGGAAACTCTGCGAGTTATCCCTTGATTGATAAACCGGTCCTTACTGGTAACTGTCTACAAGGTAAATTCATCAATCTTTAAATTGTACTGGTCGACCAAATAAATCCTGTTATTAGTTTTTGAAATGGTGCGCCAATGCTTTTTAGGCGCCGCCCACACCTGTACTAAAAATTAAAATGGGCGAAGCGCACGAAACATTGGCGTAGGTGAGGTTATTTTGTCCTCATTATTTTAATACAGATATTATACAAATAGAGAATTTGTCTGGGCACATAATATGCTAAAACAAACACAAAAGACATGTTTCTTTCTGCGATTTGTCATTTTTCTTCTCGCATATTTTGAAAATTCAAAAGCCCATCCCTAAACGAATATTTTTAGAACTTTTTAGAACTTTTTAGAACATGATATATTATTGGAGAGAATATGACTTGTGCATGGAAAACACGAGCCCGTAGGGCGAGGGTTGTTTCAATCAGGAGCTCATTGGGCTTAGAATAAAAGCATTTGTGCATATCCCATAATGACTATTTCCTGATTAAATATACTTAGTAGCAAAAATATTATCCAGAAATTATAAAGATTGTTCATTTTCACTCTTTTGAATGAATGAATGATATTAACCCAAACAAATACAATTTAATTCAAATCACTAAATCCTGTCACAATTTGCCAGAAATTAGTGTTTGAAATGGTACGCCTATGCTTGTTAGGCTCCGCCTACATTATATATAGTAAAATTAATAATATATTGGATGGACGTCATCATTGACGTCAAAATTATTGCCATTTGCAGTTTGCGAAAAATTAAAATTTGTTTTAAACTCAGAGCGCATTTTCTTTTTTATTTAACCCTAGTCAAAAAGAGATAGGACGCTGTCAGATCAATTAACCGACATGGTATGTCAAAGTAAAACGAAATTGATGCGGCAACATTGCGACGTGCTTACGTCACAAATTTTGATGACATGCATCCATTATTCTATTAATTTCACTATACTCATTGTGCTAATCAATGAACTGTATACTACACCAGGGCCGTATCTAGACCAAAATTTTGGGGGGGGTTAGACAAAGTGGCAAAAAAAAATTGTTACAGTAGTAATAAAAATAAAAAAAAAAAGTATTTAATAAGTGTTGTTTGTTTTTCAGTTAAATTTCTTGAATTTTATTATTTTTTGGGGGGGGTTTGAACCCCCAAAACCCCCCCTAGATACGGCCCTGTACTACACGTACCTGGTATGGTCCTGATCATTGTCAAATATTGACGTTTGTGTTACTTTACTGTGACGACTACCTTTTTCTCTCATACCCATTCTGTTAGGTTTAGATTTGATTAATTGAAAGATAACTATATTATAGGAGATTTTTATCTTAACCTCAAATATATAAATGGGGAATTCAAATCGGCTGATAATTCAAGATGGCGACGTGGGCATAACAAACTTGACAATCTCCGAGGATGCCGTTACATTCAATTCCAATTGATTGCAATTTTAATGTAAACGTACCTTTACGGTTGTCAGGTGTGTTCCTCCAACGGCGCCATATTGAATTGAGAGAACGTCAAATCGCCCTATATTTCCATAATTCGCGATTGGAGTCAATAAGATAAAAAGAGATAGGTATCCGTCACATGCCTCAAAAAGCCATGTAAAATTTTAATATATATATATTTTTTTCTGTTGGCGACTCTGAAAATAAACGTGTCAAATATTTTGGTACTAAATTTGACTTGACAAAGGCATTACATATTTAAATTGAAAATTCATTATTGATTTAGCAACACTGATTCTACATTCGCCTGGGGCCTGGAAATAAAGTCTGGTAACATGGCAATAATGGAAATGAAACGAATCGCATTTTTAATCAATAATAAGGGGGAAAACAGTAACTTGACAACGTGGCTGTAGCTATCTAAATATTTATTGAAAAATGCTGAATTCTTAGATCATATACAACCTAACAAAACTAAAAGTACTTTTTAACGTATTTAAAGTAGGGGAATTTCAGATGTTTTTGATTGGCAACGTCACGCGACGTTGCATGACTTGTATAAACATTTTTATTTCGTTATTTTTAGCTGTCGTCAAAGTTATTGACACATGACATTCTGGTAAATTATAAGAAAAAAAAAGACATTGACAACATTGTTTGTCCTTGTTCGATGACGTCATCCTAGCTATAACATAAAAAACTTATAGCCAGCGTTCAAACTCATGACGTCACAAGACGAACTATTTGTGAACTTAGTGCTAGTGCTACTGCTACTGAACTTGATATGTCAAAATATTATGCTGTCGAGAAATTAAAGCTGGCAACACCACAACTCAACAGGTTACTTATTCTAGTAGGCCATAAAAAAAATTAAATAAATATTTCTTGCAGTTGGCAACAATGGAGGTCAATATTTTGATACTAAAATTATACAGTTGGCAAAAAAATTATATATCTTTGTAGGCCATGTAAAATTTGTATAATTTTCGTTCTGTTAGCAACATTAAAACCCAATAAGTTACATGGCCTGCTAGCAGCTGGCCATGTAAAATTTCAATAATTTTCATGCAATTGGCGACTCTAAAGTATGACGTGTCAAATATTCCGGTAGTATTTACAGTTGGCAGCACTGAAATTCAATAAATTACATATCCTAGTAGGCCATGTAAAATTTAGTTCTGGACATATATTTTTTTTTTAATTTCTCTTGACTTGTAAAAATCATTATTTATATTGCAAATTCATTATCGGTTTAGCAACACCGTTTCCACATTCGCCTAGAAATAAAGTCTGGCAACATAGCAATAATGGAAATGAAACTAAGGGCAAAAACAGTAATTTGACATCGTGCCTTTCTAAATATTTATTCGGAAATGTTGAATTCCGGTATTTTTTTAAACGCTGTTACCCGATTATCTAACTTCTTTGCTCCTACTACTGAAACTTGATATGTCAAATATCATGCTAACGGAAATTTGAAGTTGGCAACACTGAAACTCGATAAGCTACTTATCCTCGTAGGCCATGAAAAAAATTGAATAAACACCTCTTGCAGTCTTACAGTTGGCAACACTGCAACCCAATAAACTATATATCCTAGTAGGCTTTGGAAATTTAAACAATTTTGTTTCTATTGGCGACCCTGATGAAGTTTGACTTGTTTTTTTTGGCATAAAAATGTAACTTGACTGCCTCTCAAGGTTAATACACGCTACTACTACAGGATAGCCTATCCTCATGAGGCCTGTGCCTGTGTGGAACAAATCTGAAGCCCCCCACCACGAAAAATCACCAATTGTGACGTAGCAGCATGTCCTTTCTCGCCTTGACGTATGCTGTTTGCAGCACAGGTTATGATTACGCTGGCTTATGCTTTATGCATACTTGGCTTTACTACATTAATTAACATTCCAAAACAATTATTTTTTAGATCTCGTTTTCCCCTTCCTCTTTGCCTATTATGTTTATCAAAATTAAATATTATCATACATTTAAATTCTAAACTACCTACGACAGCTACTGCAAACAGCTGACGATTTAGTTATGACGTCAGAAATGGGGCACACCAATACGGCGGCGATTACCAAAAACGATGCCGATAAGTAATCTTTAGTAGTGTGTATTATACTTGACTGTCTTGACTGTTTCTCTTATCACCTTAAGGGCCATATTCTCCGTAGTTCATAAAGCCTGGTTTAGTGGAAAAGCTCGGCTTTGTCACACAAAAAGCCAAGCGTTTCCACTAAGCCAGGCTTTATGAACTACAGAGAATATGGCCCTAAGTCCATTAGATTTGGTTAATTGTATAAAATAAATAGAGCTATTTGACGTTCTCTCAATCCAATATGGCGCCGTGGGAGTTCTTCTTTTTATTTTTGGTTAGTTGATGGTACCCTCTTTAACAAAGTGCAATTTTTACAATGTGATTTCAAAATAATTTAAAAAAAAAATAATCATTTTTGTAAAGTAGAAAAATCAGGCTTCCTGACGATGAAAAAATATACAGGGTGTTTCATTGAGAATAAGGCAGTAATTTTATTTCAGAAAATCGCATGTCTATGAAATCATATTTCAGCAAATAGGATTTGGCGATCCTGTGAAGAAAAAAAAACTTTAAAAAATCCTTATTCTCCTAGAACAAACCACATCTCGTTATCTTTTTTCGTTTTCCAGATTTTAACCTGCAAAATGTGTCAGTTTATTTACCTCCCTATACAATGGTACCAAATATCTCGTTTTTTGAAAATAGTACCCTTCTGCATGGTCCAATTTTGGATTACCTTCGGTTTAAGAATCTCCAAAATATTAGTTTTCAATAGGCATTAACTTGTGATACTTAACCCTCCACAGAATTCATTTCTAGGGCGATTTCATCAGAAATAGCACCCTACTAAAAGAAATAAGAGAACAATTTTTGAGAAAACCTTCATAAGCGCGTTGTGAGGTTTTGCTCAGAGTTAATTGGATAATATCTATTCAACTTCTAGAAGTAATGATCAAGCTGAGCTCAGAAGAAGTGGAAGGAATTAGTCCTATATAGTTGCCTATCATGGGTTCGTTTTTTCCTATCCTGACTTAAATTTTGTTTTGCAAAGTTCTTATTATGCTTTGCTGAGATTTTAATTATTATAACTGCCAATTAAGCTGATGCCAATCTTCTGGGTTAATTTAGTTCATCCAAGACTTTGTTAATTTTAAAATTTATACTCACGTATACTCATTAACGTGGGTCATACCTGATAGATAATAAAATCCACCCACCAGCGATGCAACGAGCGCAACTTGCGTTAAATCTTCATTCAGATCCTTGCTGATATCGTCGAGAAATAGCGCGAAACAATACTGTATACCATCGGCGCAAAACATTATAATTAAACTGGCTGCTACAACTATCCAGCCCCAACCTCCATCGGGCGGGACGATCACCATAGGCTCGGCTAACTCTTGTACCGGTAGAAGGATGGATCTGTTCCCTCGGGAAACGCTCAGCGAATAATTTCTCAACGAGGTTGCGTACGAGGGTGCGTAAGACCTATAGTCACTATCTGATCTATGCATGTTGGAGCGGTTTCAAATAAGTCTACGCGAAATTGACGTTTAAAAATGACATCAAACTTCAAAGATGTTAAAAATTAACCATAAAAGTGATTTACCAATCAATGTCTAGAAAAGCTAGGTAACAAAGCAACTATGACCATGAATAAGTTGAAGCTTTCCTCTAGTAGTAGTGGTCCAACGTGATCTACAACGTTTAGAAAGATCACTCAAACTATACTCAATCGCTCATTTTATCAATTAATAATTATTGGTGATGGCTCTGATCAAGTCAAAATTATAAGCGAAAAACTAAGAAGATGGTAGCACAGACACCAATGGAGGTAAGGGAGCGGATATCAGAAGCTGTTGTCACATAATAGGGTTGATTGGCTCTAGAGAGAGTTTCACTCTCAACTCCATATTCATAAGCTGTCTTTTTTAAAAAAATTCTCATTGTTTAATGAAATTGTGTGTTAAAGAAGAACAGAAAACTGGAATACCTCAACGGCAAAAAAATCCTCTCTTCAAGTTTTGCAAGCCCTAGGTAGTCATACTAAATATTCAGCAGAAACCACAACTTTATCAAGGTCTCATTCACTTATACAAAGTATCTCCATAAACGATGTAAAAATGGCCTTATTTCCTAACTAATAAAGATCCAAAACCACCCTTAACTAAATTCACATCGGGCAGGAATATCGATCCTGCGCGACACAGTTCTAAATTTTCCGGAGGGTTGCAGTGGACGCGCGACAAGGAAGATTCGGAATTGCTTTTAGTGTAGTGCTGTGATATAATAAACTTGAAAATGGAGTACGAGCAACAGGATAATCGGGGCTACGCGGGGCCCCAGAAGCCCGTGAGACCCATGGTGGATCCAGAAGCCCAGGGTGAAGTCGACCCTACCCTGTAAGTGGAGAGTTGTTTTTCGATCTTGATTGAGAGATTCTTATATAATAGTTATCTTGTTGGCTCAGTGGCGGATCGTTATTATAAGTAGAGAATATGAAGAAGTTATTTCAGATATCTAATCATTTAACTTGAAACCTTTTAATTTAGGCAAGAAGCTATTTAAGTCGATACTAATCTACAATGCCTTGAGCTGAAGTCAAAATACAGCCATTTTAAGTTGATACAAATTCAGAATTGAAAAGGATAAAAAAAAATCTATCTAATAATGACTAGAATTGCAATCTACGACTTTTCTGAGCCCCTTTAAAAATTGTTTTTTTTTTGTTCTGTGGATAAAAATTATGAATTGGTTGTCATATTCGAATGAATTATGAAATCCTCCTCGTAGGTTTACAGAACTGTCACATAATATGAAGAAAGCCAGAGTTGATATTTCAAACCTAGATTGTTCTATAGAGAAAATATCCAACTTACTCGAATTCATACTACTGCACACAAGAAAATTATGTTCTAATATATTTTTACATTCATTTCTCTCAAGGTACCCAGAACCCAAAGAATCCACACACAAGATTCGCGGCAAATCCGACATCTTAGAACGTCTATTCGGTCCTGTGGATCAAGAACTGTTAGTAGTGAAAAGCTTCTATTTTTTCTTCTATTCAGCCTTTGGATCGCTTTTTCCTTTAATGGGGGTGTATTTCAAGCAAATGGGGATGAACGCCACACAAAGCGGATTCCTAATAGGTATAATGAAACATTCATAAACTAAATATTACATTAACATTTTTAATGTAGGTTCCCGTCCATTCGTCGAATTTTTAGCGGCCCCCTTTTGGGGTAGTCTCGCGGACAGATGGCAAAAAGGCAAAATTCTTCTACTGGCATCGTTGGCTTCCTGGATCGTATTCACTGTTCCATTAGGCTCGATACAACCTCCTGCCATATCATGTATGGATTATAAAAACAACACTGCAATTTTAACTGTACCAGAAGTCACACAACGTTTGGTTAATAAACGATCCGTTCAAATGGGATTGGTTTCAGGGCCTAGTCCACCTGTAAATGATTTTCCAATTACAAGAAATTTCCCAGAATCAATAGAGTAAGAAATAACTTTCTTTTTTAAATCAAACATTCTAGAAACCAATTTGTTTTTTAGAGTAAAACGCAGATCAAAATCTACAAGGCCCCTTTATAACATCAGCGCCGGTCAGTCACCAGTAGCAGTTAACTATGCCGCAAACTACAGAGAAAAAGACCATTCCTCATGGGTGAAACCCATTATATCAACCATAGTTTATAAAATAGCTGACATCCAAAAAGCCTTTTTCCTACTAATGCTGCTGGTAATTTTAGGAGAATTCTTTGCAGCTCCCGCAGTTACTTTAGCTGACTCAGCTGTAATCACTTTACTCGGTGAAGATGCCGATTCCTACAGCCACCAACGTATGTTCGGCTCCTTCGGTTGGGGTCTGGCGATGTTTTTCGTCGGAATCGCTTTGGATCATTCCACCTCGTTTCCGAACCATCCGTGCGGTCCGGACCAAAAAGAACGCAACTATACCATCTGTTTTGCAACGTTTTCAGTTCTAATGGGAGCGGCGTTGATTACAGCCACGCAAATTAATTTCAAATACGAAGAGCCCGTGCCGCAGGTAGTTAACGAACCCAGTGCCGATAGAGGAGTGCTTTCTAAAGAAGATCAGATGCAAGCTCAACTTGCCGAGCAATTGAATTTGCCTTCGCTGGCTGATACTAGAGCTTCCGATGTTTTACCACCGAAAGAGGAAAAGGTATGATCTTGAACAAATCGAAAATGTAACGTCTTCTTTTATTGAGTTTCAATAAATCACAAAGCTTGGTTCTGGAAAAATCAGATTCTAATAATGTTCAACAATTGTTTATTACATATTCACAATCTATTCGAATATAACAACAATTTCTTAGAATCTAGCTAGGATACTTCGTGAGAAATCTCTTCTAACAGAAGAGATTCCTAGATCCATTTTACTAGCGGGTTCTACTCTATATACATATGAATTACGTGGGGGTTTTTAAAGTTTTCAGTGCCTTTGACGACTTTGAATCAATCGAGAACAGATTTTTCGACCTTTTTTAGAATTTTCTGCAAACTCTTCAGAGTCGATTCTTGAGTATTTTGTGTTTGTGACTTTAAAATCGTTGAACTTTGTAGTCATGTAATTATTCTTGAGACACTTCGAAGTATTGAGAGCTTTGAAGGCATTGGAGACTCTGATATCTTTAGAATCTTTAAACCCTTTAGAATCTTCAGAGATTTTCAGTCAGCGGAGTTTTTTGTCCTGAATAATTATTCTTAAGATTCTAGATACTTTGTAGGGTCACTTCAAAATCGTTAAGGACTTCTTCAGAATCTTCAGTCTTAAATCAACAAAGTTTTATGAGTCTACATTCTAAAAACTTGGAAATTTCATACTTCAAAGTCTTCAGGGATCCTTGAATAATCATTTCGAAGTCTTCAAGATTTTTTGGGTTTTTGAAGCAGTAGAATCTTTAGTCTTACCTACGTCTTAAATCAGCTAAGTTTATCTGGATTTGAGAAATTATTATTCAGAGTCTAGAATCTATACGGTCAGATCAGTTGCGGCTTTAGCGTCTTTTTGAGTTTCAAGTATTGTAGTGATTTTTTCGAGTCTTTTTAGACTTGAGAGGCTTTAGCTCGAAAGCCTTAAAATCTTTCGATGTCATGAAATCTTAAGAATCTCCTCATGAAATCTTAAGAAATTAGAATCTTTAGAGTAATGTGTATTGTGCCTTCGACATCTTCAAGATCTTCGAGGTTTCTAAAAACATCAAAGGCTTGAAATCCAAAGCCTTGATTTTTTGCTCATTAGAATCCTTTACTCTTTGGGCATAAAATTAGCTGAGTAGTCATTTCATAATCCTAAAAAATAAGCATTTCGAAATTGTTAAGTCTCCAGTCTTGTGTCTTTGGAATCTTTACAGTAAAGATCAGTCTTCAAACTTTTTAGGTTCTTTTGAGACTTCTTTAGAATCTTTTAGAAAATCTTCAAGAGTGTTTCGAGTCATGACTTGAAAGTCCTTGTACCGCTTTAAGCATGCGAATATTCTTGAGATAAGTATTGAGGGTTTCGAAGCCCTTGGAGCCTCTAAATACTTGAAATCAATGACTTGAGAATCTTTACAGTAAATATATAGATTTATTCAAGACTTTAGAATCTTCGAAGGGTTTCAGTCTAAGATTTTCAGTCAGCAGAGTTCTACATTCCAGAATTTTTTAAAGTCTAAAGTTTAGGATCTTTGAAGTCGCCTTTAAATTCGTGAAGGACTTCAAATTGGTATTGTTTATTGTGTGTTCGAGATCTTTAAGATCTTCGAAGTTCTTAAAGACTCCAAAGGCAAAGAAATCAAGAGCCTCAGACGCTTGAAATTTTTTTGATTTTTCCCTGAAGTCCTTAGTCTTTAGGTATTGAATTAGCAGAGTCATTATTTCAAAATCCTCCGCGTTTCGAATGTTCTTCATTGTTGTGTCTTCAAAATCATTAGAGTTTTTGGTCCTGGGTGATGATCCTTGATTTTTCAAAGTTTTAAAAATGTTCAAATTCTTTCGAGACTTTGAAAACTTAAAATCGATGTTTGAAGTCTATATTCATATTTTTTACCTCTCCAGAATCCGATACTAGAGCTTCCGATGTTTTACCACCACTTCAAAATCTTCAGGGATCCTTGAATAATAATTTCGAAGTCTTCAAGATCTTTTGGGTTTTTGAAGCAGTAGAATCTTTAGTCTTACCTACGTCTTAAATCAGCTAAGTTTATCTGGATTTGAGAAATTATTATTCAGAGTCTAGAATCTATACGGTCAGATCAGTTGCGACTTTAGAATCTTTTTGAGTTTCAAGTATTGTAGTGATTTTTTCGAGGTTTTGAAATCTCCGGAGTCTTTTTAGACTTGAGAGGCTTTAGCACGAAAGCCTTAAAATCTTTCGATGTCATGAAATCTTCAGAATCTCCTCATGAAGTCTTGACAAATTAGACTCTTTAAAGTATTGTGTATTGTGCCTTCGAGATCTTCAAGATCTTCAAGATCTTCAAGATCTTCGAAGTTTCTAAAAACTTCAAAGGCTTGAAATCCAAAGCCTGAGACTTGATTTTTTGCTCATTAGAATCCTTTACTCTTTGGGCATAAAATTAGCTGAGTCGTCATTTCATGATCCTAAAAAGTAAGCATTTCGAATTTGTTAAGTCTCCAGTCTTGTGTCTTTAGAATCTTTACAGTAAAGATCCGTCCTCAAAATTTTCAGGTTTTTTTGAGACTTCTTCAGAATCTTCTACAAACTCTTCAAGAGTGTTTTGAGTTGTGACTTTAGAGTCCTTGTACCGCTTTAGGCATGTGAATATTTTTGAGATAAGTGTTGAGGGCTTTACAATCTATCTCACGAATTCTCAAGAAATGAGTCTTTAGAATCATTAAAGTATTGTGTATTGTGTGTTCGAGATCTTTAAGCTCTTCAACGTTCTTGAAGACTCCAAAGGCAAAGAAATCAAAAGCCTCAGACTCTTGAAATTCTTTTGATTTTTCGCTCATTGGAATCCTTAGTTTTTAGGTATTGAATTAGCAGAGTCATCATTTCAAAATCCTCCGCGTTTCGAATTTTCCAAAGCCTTCATTGGTGTGTCTTCAAAATCATTAGAGTTTTTGGTCCTGAGTGATGATCCTTGACTTTTCAAAGTTTTCAAAATGTTCAGATTCTGTTGAGACTTTGAAGGCTTAGAATCGATCTTGAACTCTATATTCATATTTTTTACCTCTTCAGAATCTTAAGTTCTGAATCAATATTCCGAGTCATTATTCTAAAATGCTGAAAAATAAGTCTATACAGTGCCTTATTTATATGGAAACTTTCTAAAGTTCAGTGATGATCCTTGAGAGTCTTCATAGTTTTCAATATCTTCGGAGTCTGTTGAGACTGTCAAGAGTTTCAGGTCATAAGTTTCAGGAGTCTTTAAAGTGTCTGGTTTCCTTGATATTGTCAGAGCCTTCGGCATTTGGTTTTAATCAGCCGGGTTCCTATAAAATCTACATTCTAGAATCTTGAAATCTGAATAGGTAATTTATTTTTTCTCACTTGAAAAATTTTGTCGTTCTTGTCCTAAATCAGTCTATATAGTATTCTAATGTCTTCCAAAAAATAGTTTTCGCAGCCTAGAAATTCTCTTGAAGTCTGTCTGTCTGTAGTGTTTATTTCTAGAATCTTCAATCTTCATAGTTGTTATTAGTGCAATTTATCCTTAAAGATCTTCACATTCTTTGGAAAGCTTACAGGGTCTTCAAAATCTTTGGAATCCTCGACGTCTTATGAAAAATGAGTCTATGGAGCTATCAGAATCTTCAAGGGCCCTAGTTTTCTCTTATGATGATTCAATTAGAATATTGAGACTCTTGATCTCCTTGAAAGGCTTGAAATGAAGAGCCTTTGAGATCTTTAAAGTGTCAGGTTTTTGAATATTCGAATACTATGTAAAGAAAGTAAAAAAGCTTAAAGATTCGAATAAATTCTTAAACGAGTATTTAAATAGGTACTAAAGTTTTAAAGATCCCGAGGAGAGTAATTATTGTCCCAAAAGTTACATATCATGCATGCCTGAACCCAACAGGCAAAAAAAGGAGTTCAAGCAATCCTAATTTATAGTCGTAGAGACTTTAGTGAAACTCAATAGAAGCAGACAATAGACGTCCTCTTATTGGTGAATTTCAGTAACAATGTTTGCCCCACATCGTAGAGTGAGAACAAAATGATCTAGATATCTTACAAACTAACTTCTAATGTCTGAAAAATTTTAATGAGCATTGATGGTTTCAGAGTAAAGTATTCGCACAAACCACCCGCGAAATGCCCGAATGGATCAAAGTATTAGGTCACTTCAAGAATCTCAAATGCGCCTCGTTCCTGTTCGTCGCCTGGTTCATGGGTTTCGGCATCGGCCTGATATTCACTTTCCTGTTCTGGCACTTACAAGACTACGGCGGCACACCGACCTTGTTCGGTGTAGCCTCCGTCATCAATCACATATCAGAAATATTCGCCTACTTTTTTAGCTTTCGACTGATCAGACAAATCGGCCACGTTAAAGTTTTGTGTTTGGGATTGATCACGAACACTTTACGGTTCTTGTACATATCTTGGTTGACGAATCCTTGGTGGGTGCTCCCTTTTGAATTTGTCCAGGTAAGAATTGGCCCTTATTAAATTTGTTGCTTTAAAGGTGATTTGTATAGGGCATTACTCACGCAGCTGTTTGGGCAGCGTGCTGTTCGTACATATCTCACAATACACCTCCAGAGCTGCGCTCATCCGCCCAAGGTGTTTTGCAAGGAATTCATCATGGATTAGGACGCGGTTGTGGTGCAGTTATAGGTGGCATATTCGTCACCACCTTTGGTTCTACGAGTACCTTTAGAAGTTATGGATTAATATGTCTTTTGGTACTTGCTGCGTTTATTTTCATTAACTTTTACCGAGTAGATCAAGGCTTCGTATCTGATTTGCCACAAACGGAGGATCCTAGACAGGTAAAACAAATTACCTTTGCATATATAATATTAATTAACATAAATTAGGTGGCCGAAGAAACATCTCATCTAGCACCACATGGAGTACCCAGTAATCCAATTCCAAGAGCCCTGTCGAGTACTAAGTTACACGAACTAGCTCAGCAAGATGGTTACGGAGCTACTTACCAAACGGGACAAGGTGGCACGTTGGACATACCTGGTGGCGGTGGTTATAATCCTTTCCAAAATAATACTGGTGGTGGCGTGCAGCAGCAGCAGCAAGCTGGCAGAGGTGGTTATGAGGTAAGATTGTTGCGGAACTAAGTCTTGTAATCAGAAATTTGTTGGTTTCAGTCTAAAACAGCAGGTTGTAGCTATCCGATGGCCACCACTTTGTTAGAGACTCAACAGCCAATAACCACTACCAATAGAGCTTACGATTGGTAAATATATAATGGTAGGGTTAAAGTACAAACTATGAGGAAATACATCAGTGGCCGGTAAAATATTAAATGATCTTTAGGTTTTAGGATAATGATGTTATGCAATGTTTTTTCTCCTCTAAAGTGTGTGTCGAATTCAAATAGATTGTGTATATTTCGTTGTAAATACTGTTATTGATTTTCGTTATGTTTTATGCACAAAGTTGCAAACTATCTGCTGAGTTTTATAGAATACATTTATTAGGTCCCTTATTGTAGCTCTAGATAATAAACTGCACTATTTGTACAAATAATATACACTATTAAATATCATATAATGTGTTTTAAAATTTATTATATTTTTTAGAAATATTTTATCCACAATAATATCAAATTTGTATAAAATAAACAAACATGGCTTTACATTTGATTTCAATGTAAAAAAAATATTGTGGTGTGTTGCTATATATATACAAATTTTTAGCTGGCTTGGGAACTAAATAGCAACAATCAATTTGTTCTGATTGGTCTTAGTGTGGTTGTATAGGAGTAAATCTAATTTATGTAAATTAAAATATCCTATATTGTTTATAAATATTTGTACGATAAGTAAGTGGGCTTCATCTTCAACATAGATTGGTGTAATCAGATTGCTTTGTGATTGGAGCTCAATTTTGATGCATAAATATTGAGCCATAATCACAACCCAATCACTGCCACTATAATTTCGATTGTCTTGCCTTGTCTTGGTCTATAAAATCCTCATTGGCTCTATATTTTATCATTTAAATAAATATAGCCTTAGTAAATACATATCGCAAAATATTACAATCCAAAAATATAGATTATTTATACAAGGAAAGTTAAGAATATTTAAATTAAATGCGCACGTTATCTAAATGTTATTTAGGTAGTATATTTGCACTGTGAATTTATTGGTATTGAATATAATATTAATTGATTGAGAAATAAACTTAGTGCTTCATTTTTTTGACTTTAAGAAAGTTTTCATTGGATATAATCGACATGAATGGTTTGTTAAATGAATATTGAATCGAAAGAATTGCCAATCTTGTGTCAAAAATCAATTTTAAATAAGAAGCACATTTGTAGCATACGAGGCTGCTGAACCTGAAGATGAACCCATTAATTACCGGTGAGGACCAAGTGACAGACAGATAATTAAGTTCCTTAGAAATAGCGGAAGCGGAATTTAGGTCAACGTATCGAAATAAGGCGAGTTGAGGAGGAGATCAAGAGTATTTGAACAATCAGGTAGAAAGAACAAGGATCAGTCCAAGAGATAGTCTAGAGTCGAAGAGTAAAACAGTCATCAGTCCAGTGCAGAGTTTTTTTTGTTTCTCAATGCATCGAACGTACATTTCTGTGTTGTAGTTTATAATTACAGTTCGCTGAAAGTATGTGCGAAGAACTTGTCATCCACCAGTAAAGTGTGATAGAACTGACAGTACAAGGATAATGTGATCGATGAAAAAAAAGCAAATCATGAGATTAGCAGTGCTAAAAAGGAGCATAATCTATCAATGATAAAAGAGGGCGATTTGTATGTCAAACACAAATACACACCTGATAAAAAAAATGAGAATAAAAAATGTTTGGATGTGCAAAGAATTATTACACAATTTATTGTCCGTCAGAAAACTGGAAGAAGTTGGAATGTATTTGGAAATGAAGAAGTAATTGTATGGGAGAAAAACAAGATATAGTTCTACAAGGAAAAAGACATAGGAATTTATATAGAGTAGATTCTCAAATATCTCCAGAACTCAAGACAGCAATTGTGAACCTAACTGTAAATGAAAGTAGATTGTTGATGCGCAGAAAAATGGGTCATTCTAGTGAATATCCCACATCTGAAATTTGTGAAACTTGTTGAGAAAGTAAACAAACAAGGCTGCCTTGTAAGACACTAGATGAAGAAAGAAAAGTGAAAATAATCTTGGAATGTATTTCAACTGATGTGTGTGGACCATTTAGGCCTGCTACACATGATGAAAAATGATACTACGTGATATTTATTGATCAATATACACACTTTTGCGTTTTTTATCTCCAGGAAAATAATAGTCAAGTTACAGAGAAGCTGAAAGAATATATGAGGCGAGTCAAAGCAAAATTTAATAATAAAATAGACAGAATATGGGTGGCGAATATGTTTCTCAAAAATTAGACTTGTGTAACAATGAAGGAATTTATTTGCAGTACACTTGGCCAAACATAAAACTGGTACAGGCAATATATATTTTTTAAATTTGTCAGTGTGAGTCAGGCTTAACAACAAAAAGTCTTTTCTGAAAAACTTAGGTCAGACAGTTTCTGTCAAAATTTAACATGTTTTCACATGTTTTTATGTTATGTTTGGTTTAAAAATGACTCTGACTTGACTCTCTTTGTCATTTTTGAAGTGATAAAAAAGGTCGACTTACACAATACCACACAATAGGAAAAGGTGTACCAGTTTTATGATTGGCAAAGTGTACACTGTTCCAAGAAGTCCAGAACAAAATGGGATAGCTGAGAGGCTAAATCGGACAGTAATGGAAAAGAGCCGATGCCTTCTATTTGATTCTAAATTAAGCAAAGAAATATGGGGTGAGGCTGTTCTGACCTCAGTTTTCTTATTGAACAGAACACTAGAACAGTAACTTCAACCCTGGCCAATCAGAAATTGCTTGCTGAGGTATGGTATGGATATAAACGAAACGTGGATAAAATTGTTCGGTTGCAAAGCTCACAAACTGATTCCTGAAGAGGATAGATAGTCAAAGCTAGACAAAAGAAGCCAAAAAATGATTATGATTGGCTATACTGATAATGGATATATACTATGGAACCCATCAGAAAAGAAAGTAGTATCCGCAAGAAATGTTATTTTTAATGAATTGGAAACTAATGACGACAGAGTAACAATTGAACAAAACAACGAGCAAGCAGATGAGCGAAAACAAGAGTTTACTAAGAAATAAAGAAAGAAAGCAGAATATTGTTACACTTTCTAGTTCTGAGGCTGAATAGGTACCATCGTCACCAAAAGTAACTAGGACAGCATCACATTAGCTCTTGTCCTATTATGAATTTTATTGTCAAATATTTGTCAAACTATAATTTAAATGCATTGAAATGAATGACAGTAGAATTAGTCCAGGAGATTATTATGCATTTTTATGTCCCAGTTACTTTTGGTGACGATGGTACATTGCCCTGTCAACCTTTATCACAGAAAAATTTATTTTTGGCTCAAATGTTAAATGAAGTTTTGAAAACTGATTCGTTTTCTATAATTATTTTCGAAGATAACCAGTCTTGCATAAAAATGGCCTCAACACTTGAAAATAAAAGAACGAAACCTATCAATGTGAAACATCATTTTGTTAGAGACTGCATAAGGGATGGTAAAATTGTTTTGAAATATGTGAGTACAAATCAGCAACAGGCTGATGCCTTGGCCAAACCTTTAGCAAGTACAAAATACACAACTTTTGTATATACTCCTATCGTCTATCTGTGAAGGTAAATAAGCTGCAGGTGGGATGCAAAAATAAACGGGAAACCCCTGTAAATACATACATGTAGGAATTTGGGACTTTAGCATAACAGTTTTTTGATCGGTAATTTCCCATTTTCCTCAAGGCTGTGTATAACCTTATAAGCTTTAAGTAACTCAACGTAATCACATGGGATACATACATACTCAGCAAGTGTGCCAATGCCGATTGAATGTGCGATTTGTGGGCTCAATAAAACTACTCATACAACCAAATATACATATAAAAAAAATCTTTAGTATTTATTTGGTTACATTTGTTCCTAGAATTTGTATTGAATTGGATTGTCTGGCAACAATATAGTGATATGTTTCATTTGGCAATTAAGATCATCACAATAACAATCTTTCTCAATTATCTTTACATCGCTAACCAACTTTTTAGGATACAAAAGGTATTCCAATAAATCCAACCCTGTTTGGCAGGACAAAGTTCTTCTGGGAATTTCTTTGGCTTGGCATTTTTCTTGGTCAATATTAGTAACCTAAAACAATTATAATAAAAAGTGTATCATATTTTAATAAATGATGTAAAAATCTTACTGATACGCTGCTGTCCCTCCAACTATTCGTGGAACTTTTTTCTGAACAAGCCGAAGCCACTTTAGAGCCTATATGGCAGCGTATTTTCGTGGTAGTAAAAAAAGCTCTATTGTTTTTGTCAGGCTTAAATATAATAATGTAGAGTTTGGGTATAAAGAGGAACATCCATGTTACTAGAGCACTTAGCGTGACACACATGCACATTGTTATTGCCTAAAAATATTTGAGATTTTTGGACGGTTTCGTAAATGAAAACAAAGTTCTTACCTTGGCCCCACTTCCAAAATAAATTGGTACAAAGGCAATCCAAATAACACACGTAGTGTACATGGCGAATCCGATAAATTTGGCCTCGTTAAAATTTTCCGGTACATTTCTGGTCTTGACAGCATACAGCGTACACAAGACGATCAAAATAAAATCAAACGATAACGGTATCACAATGGCTTCAAGCGATATTTCGCATTCCAGCAACGTTTTACTTGGCAAATACGAATAAGTTATGTTGGGTTTTTGCATATAAAGCATAGCACCTGCAACGACTAATTCAATGCTTATTAGAAACAGAGCTATGATTACTTGAGCTGTAGCTGACATGAACAGTAACCGTCGGCTGGGGAACTTTTTTTTGCTGCCCGCTAAAATCCTAGCAATTCTATTGGTTTTGGTGAGCAGGGACGAGTAAATCATTGCGAAGGCCACTCCCGGTAGGAATCTTGTTAAAGAACAAGTGAACAGTTTCGGTTTGGCGAGCATAGCGAATATCGACAAGTGAGCTAGAGTCATTCCTGCTAGGATTAAATAGGATAGTTCTCTTGTTGATGATTTTACTACTGGAGTGTCGTTGAATTTTATGAAAGCTGTTATGGAGAAAATTGTTGTTACTAGACCGAATGAGGAGAAAGCCATAGCTACTATTGCTGAACGGTCGCTCCATTGGACGTATTCAATGTGGAGTAGTTCACAAACTAAAAATAATTTTGTATTGATTACTATTGATACATACTATTAAATATACATTTCTTATTGGTTTTCAAAAAAAAAATGTTCATTTCGATATTTTACTCTCAATCCCAATAGAGCGAGAGCTAGTGAATTCCATTATAGTCCAAGAGCCTGCAATACTAACGGGTATGTGATCGTTGCAATGGATAATTTCTACATAAAACAATAGTTCATAGTAACCTTTAAACCAAATGGGTGGGTTGCCTCGATTCTCATGGCCGTAAAGTTGTTTTATGGAAAGATACTTCAAGAACCATAAGCGCAACAAATAAGAAGTACCTTGCGGTGTAGGGGGTTCTCATCATATGCGGCAAACACTTTATTAACACAATTTCATGTTTCTTTTTTTTGTCTAAAGACCTACAGCCGTATGCAAAATCCTCTTCACAGCGTCCTCTTTTAACTTTAAAAGTGACTTTGAAGGCTGTCACTTTCAAAAATTTGTATTTAGCAAGCAAAATAACGCGTGCGCTCGACTTTCAATGAGGGTTGCCATCATTTCCGGCCATCAAAATCGAGGCCACCCTGTATATTTTCTGAGAAGACATATTAAAGAATATATCTACCAATTTTCAGCTATTGCAACGATAACATTGTTCCTTCGGAAAAAGAGGGGTAGTTTACGCCCAGCCATCAAAGGGTTGCGGCCATGAGAATCGAGACCACCTATCCATTTAGTTTAGAGGTAACTATGAGCTATTCTTTTATGTGAAAATTATCCATTGCAACGATCACATACCCGTTAATATTGCTGGCTCTCCTACTATTACATCCATCCCCAAAACTTTTAAAGTTGTAAAAGAAATATCACTAAAAAGTCTATAGAATGAAACTTGGAGTGTTTTCCAACAATCGATGTTTGAGGTTTCAGTTATTCTATGGTTTCAGTCAATGATCAATCAAAATCTGAACTATTCCCGGCTACTATTTTTTTCGGGTGAGTCCATTCTGCCACTTTTTCGACCATTTCCAGGTAGCCCCGCCCACGTTCCAACGCCCAACTTTGAATGAAATTTTCGTAGAAAAATGTTTTGATACTGAAGCACTGAAAAAACGTTGTGTCACTTAAGAACGCTCGAATAACTAACTAGACTTTGAATGAATGAAGGACAACATGTATTATCGCCAGGAAATGTGGTTTTTGTTATTGAGATAACAGGATTTCGAATAAATTAAGCAAGTTCGCAAAACTTGTTATCAGCGGCAGAAATTATAATTATTTAAAAATAATATTTGGGGCTTGCCGAAAAATGGGGCCCGGACAAATGATTATGTATGAGATATGTGAGTGAGAGAGATATATGAGGTTTGAGGTATGAGAGCAAGAGAGCGAGGTGCAAGCTCCGTCATCATCAGTACTAGGTACTTACCTTGTAAGGTAACAAGTCGCCTGTATGTGCGGCTGCTGCGGTCAATGACCCTGCCTCGGCGGCGGCGGCAATGCAGACCTGGGCGCTGGATCGTGGGCGGGGCTACCTGGAAATGGTCGAAAAAGTGGCAGAATGGACCTTAGCGTTTTCTTATGGAGATTTACATGGGGTTTGCTGTTGAACTGTCCTAGCACCTTTACTCCTCTAAAATAATTTTCTAACGATTCAAAATCTGAACTATTCCTGGCTCTAGGAATTTTTTCTAGTGATTCACGTACCCATACTACATTATTGATCAAAATCTGAACTACCTACTTCCGACTCTTGATTTTGTCTATAAAAAAAGATCAACCAATCAAATCGATTCTGTGAAACGCTCAACCAATCAAATTAATATTGATGTCATTTTGTGATTTTCAATTAACATAAAGCAATAAAAAATCAAGAAGAAAATGGCGGATTTAGGGTAGGAAAAATTGATTAATTGAGTGGCTCTTGAGTCTTGGTCCGCCTAATTAAGAGCAGGGAATAATTAAAAATTGCACATTAAACATGATGGACCAATCAAATTGATTCTGAAACTCATTTTGTCATTTTCAATTGACATACAACAATCAAGAAGAAAATGGCGGATTTAGGAAAGGCAAAGTTGATTAATTGAGTGATTATCCCCGGCTCTTGATCCAATTATTCAAAAACTGTACATGGGATTAGATTCATACTAACTGGGAAGGTTAAGGCGGTTGTCAGAAACAGGGTGACACTAGTGGTGTCCACTCGATTACTCGATCGACCTACGAATGCACAATTATACGAAAATATACAAAATAACATAATCAGATGACAATTATTCAGATACTGCACATAGGATTGAATTCATACTAACATGGAACGTTAAGGGAGTTGTAAGAAACAGGGTGACAGCACTGGCGTACACTCGATACACCTACAAATGGAGATTTATACGATTATTCCACTCATGTGTTAAAAATCCCATAAGACAAGTGACGATTTTCAGAATTACAGCGAAAATTCTCTTTTACATTTGTTTAACTAGAGAGAATTACAGCGATAATTCTCCCATGTTATTGTATACATGGTTTTCATGCTAATTTTTGATACAAACAAACGTTTCCTGATAGCAACCATTTATTTGTATTGATTGTTAAGATGTTTAAATCGTTTAATACATATTTATTTCCATATTTTTTGCATTCTCATACGTGAAATAATCCTCTAAATACCACTTGAGCTTTAAAATGAACCAGATAATTTTTCACTCATGCGTGTTTTCTCTGCGGACTCGTGAAATTAAAGAAAACACGCAATCGTGAGAAATTATCGGTAATTTTGAAGCTCTTGTGGTATTATCCTCTAAAATATACAAAATTACCTATTCAGATGACAATTATTCAAAAACTGTACAAGGGATCTAATTCATACTAATATGGAAGGTTAAGGGGGTTGTAAGGTACAGGGTGACAGCACTGGGGTACACTCGATCGACCTACAAATGGAGATTTATACGAAAATATACAAAATTATATAATCAGATGACAATTATTCAAAAACTGTACATGGGATTAAATTCATACTCACATGGAAGGTCAAGGGGGTTGTAAGAAACAGGGTGACACCAGTGGCGTACACTCGATTGACCAACAAATACAGATTTATACGAAAATATAAAAAATTATATAATCAGATGACAATTATTCAGAAACTGTACATGGGATTAGATTCACACTAACAGGGAAGGTTAAGGGGGTTGTCAGAAACAAGGTGACACCAGTGGCTCTTAATCAGAATCAAGAGCAGGGAATAATCAAAAATTGAACATTGAAGAAGATCAACCAATCAAGCTCTCAATCCGAATCAAGAGCAGGAAACAGTGGCGTAGTCAGGGGGCCCGGGCCCCTCCCAAGGCTTTAGAGAAAGATAGAAAAATAATGAACCAGACCAAAACAGTAAACTGCTCATATTAAAGAAAGCTTAGTGGATGTGAACCATTTTTACAAAAGGTAGTCTTTAGAGTTTGCAACAATACGTAGACGTGACGTCACAACTGCTTGGAGCCCAACAGATTCTGCTTTTGTTTACTTTGGTTCAAAACCAAAAGCTATGTTTCACCTATTTGAGTCAACCCGGTAGTTAAGTAAGAGTCGCAGGATTTTATTAGAGTCTGAGTCTACGGTATCCGAGCGATTGTGACGTCACGTTTCTACGGTTGTTTTGCAAGTATCTCGGAAACCGTTTTAGTGCCATTTTGATTTTCAATTGACATATAACATAACAATCAAAATTGAGAAGAAAACGGCGGATTTATGTTCTCTTGATCGGAATTAAGAACCCGGAATAATCAAAATTTGAACATTGAAAATGGATAAGATTAATCAATCAAATCGATTCTGATGCCATTTTGCGACTGCCAATTGACATAAAACAATCAAAAGTTAAGAAGAAAATGGCGGATTATGGTAACAAAAATTGATTAATTGAGTGATTATCCCCGGCTCTTGATCCGAGAGCCGGGAATAATCAGAAATTGAACATTGGAAAAATGTTTTAATGAATCAAGAGCCGGTAATAATCAAAATATGAATAACCTATTCTTGGCTTCTGATTTCCTTTAGTAAATTCTTGTACCTACTTAATTAAAAAGCCACAAAGTCAGTGGTACCTACTGGTCTGGTCGTTCCAAAGAGTGGTTCAGTTGAACTTTACTGATACTTAATCTTTCCCATTTAAAATGCGTTGATGTCAAAAGATATTGTCGGACCTGGGGGTTTTGAGGGGGTGTGAATCAAAACTAGAGCCAAGTATAAAAATAGGAAAATGTATTTACAATAAAACTTACCACAATTACATTTCAGTTATGGGCATGGGCACTAATGATTATCACAGGACTAAAAGGCACTATTACTACTGACTAACTAACGTGGATAATTCTTGCTCTGTAGACTGATAACTCATCTTCCAAAACTACCTTATTTTATGCTAGTCGAGCCACCATGGTACGTGATTTCTAATTACAATAACTGCCGATGACCTGGCGTCGACATTGACCTTCTATGGATTTCGGTTCCATGTCCGTACAAATTAATAATTTAATAATTCGTTCAACTTGCAATGTTATTTACATGTAACGTGACAGATGGTCTTCCTGTAATCCATGAACTTTTTTGGAAGACGAGTGAGTTTAATTTACCGAAGAGAGGTGCCCTATTATCCTAGATACGACAATATACACTGACAGATTTCTGACATAAATGCGTTTTAAATGGTGTTACGATAAATTTATCATTTACGTAACATGTTCCATCTCTTGTCATTTTCATTATAAAGTTGTATTTTTGCCATTTCAGAATCAGCATAATAATAGTTCAATCAAATATCAGTACTGCCATCTATCCATCATCAAAATAAAATGCAAACATTTATTATTTAAAGAAGAAAGAAGGTACCTACGGCCATCTAGTAGTACCTGATAGATTTATTTTTCAAAGTATGATTTTAATTATTTCGCATTTGACAGTCATTTGTATTTTCATTCAAAGAAATTATATTTATCTCACTCTTAGCGAATGGATACATTTCTGTCTTTCTCTAACTTCTGATTCTGAAATAATAATTTTTTTCTACAAACGTCACTAAAAGTGTCATTTTTAACGCATGATGTCAGTGTCTAAAATGCCATTTTATGACACTGGTGCTAAAAGTGATTACTTTTAGCACTAGTGCTAAAAGTAATCACTTTTAGTGCGTTTGTAGAAAAAATAGTGTATGATATTCGTGCTAAAAGTAATTTTATTTTGTTCAAAGAGATGGAACACTCCGCCTTCGGCGTCGTGTTCCAAACTTCCCTTTTCACAAAATAAAATGTCACTTTTAGCACTTATATCATAAATAACTATTTTTGGCCTGATGACCTAATTAATTAGCGGTTTTTTGTTTTGAACATAACCTTAATTTAAATTATTATAATTTGTAAACAATTAAAATAATTCTGGTGGATTTTTATCTATTCTCTTTTATTCCACGTGGTTTTTCATTGTGAAGTGAATATGGTCTTTTGAGTGTAGTTTTCTGATTGGTTGATCTGGTTAATACGCAGTTAAGTGTAAAAAAAAAACACAGGGTTGTTTTCCTATAGGGTTTGGTTTCTAAAACGTTCTCTATCTCTGGCAGTGCTCTAGCAGGCGAGTCATTTTTATTTTTAATTATTTTGCCTTCACATTTTCAGATTCTCCCTTATAAATTTTTCAATATACAGGGTGTCCCAATAGAAAGTGACCGATTGTAAATGCTTATAACTTCTAAACCAGGTGTGCTAGCTAGCTACCTCTTGGCCCAAAGTTTTTTTCAGTTAGTTGTCAATTTTTTTCACACTTATACAGGGCGTGCGAGAGGGCGAGTAAAAAAATGCCGTTTTTCGACATCGAAATTCTCTACTATTTTTATTGAAACACCATGCATGTTGCAGCGCCAAAATTAAGAGTCGTATACAAGGTATTGATGTACCAATAAATATCGGGCATGGGACTTGAAGTTTTAGCCTTAAAAAATTTAAATAGAAATCTGGCCCAAAAATAAATGCATTTTATTAGGTTCAAAAAAGGCTGACGTTTATTGGTAAATTAATACCTCGGTCACGACTGGCGTTGCAACATACAGGGTGTTCCATTAAAAATAGTGGAGAATTTCGATGTTGAAAAACGGCATTTTTTCTACTCGCCTTGTATAGGTGTGAAAAAAATTTGCAACTAACTGAAAAAAAAATTCAGGCCAAGAAAATTCGAATGGCGCAAATCGCAGGTAGCTAGCACACCTGGTTTAAAAGTTATAAGCATTTAAAATCGGTCACTTTCTATTGGGACACCCTGTATTTTGCCATCAGTGCATATTATCATATCATTGTTAAGTTTTTACCTGATAAATCTTATCTTATCTATTCTTGAAATATAAATATTATATTTAAATTTTGTATCTAATTTGTGGGCCGCCATTTTGTGTGATTGGTGGTTCCACGTTTTTGAGGTAAGTCAATTCGGATTTTTGGGCTAATAGATAGGTACTGCTGCTCTGGTTTTCAGAAGTTAGTGTGGAATTATTGGACCATTTGCTCTAAATAGAGTCGGTGAAAACCAAAACCAAATTTGTGTGTCCATCCCTATCAATTCTTTATTGAATCCAGGCAGAGGCCTGTATAGCCATTTTCTGTTTGACTCCGTCAATTATTACCTTCTCGAGGAGAAGAGTGTTAAAAAAAGGTGTAATTTTCCAGAATAGAAATCCAGACAGGTCAAAAAATTCATTAAAAAAAGTTTTACAGAGGGCTACACGTTATCATAATTTTTTGAATTCCACGACCCTAGATTCTCTTATCTTAAAGTTCAAATAACGAGTGTATTTGTAACAATAGGAAAGAATAAGTAAAAGTAGAGTTCAACTGAACCTCTATTTGGTACAACCGGGCCTTAATGATCGAAATTTCGGTTTCCTCTACGAAATTGTTCTGGAGCACAGTAATGATCAAAATATGAACCTCTTCAAGCTCTTGATTTCCTCTAGAATTTTTTTCCTAGTGATTCAAGAGCCATTATCAATCAAAATCTGAACTTCATATTTCCAGTTCTTAATTTCCTCTATAAAATTTTTTCAATAATTCAAGAGCCGGTAATAATCAAAATTTGAACCATTCTATACCTTTACAACTTCAAATTGAGACTTATCACAATCAAATTGAGATTAACAAAATCAAATTGAGACTTAAAACAATCAAATTGAAAATAATCAATTTCAAATTGGTACAACATCCGTTTCCATGTAATTGAACTTTGTACCAATTTGAAATTGATTATTCTCAATTTAATTTTGTTTAATCTCAATTTGAAAATGTTTGCTCTCAATTTGATTGTGATGATTCTCAATTTGAAGTTGTAAAGGTATAGTTGAATGAAAATTTCTAGTAGTTTTCAGCTGTTATGAAATAGGAACCTTAAAGGCAAGAAATAGTTCACTAGCTCTCAGTCTCGAACAACACTACTTTAAAAAAAAAGACTCTTTGATGAAAGTTCTTACTTGTTTTGTTAGTATTTGCTGCGTAACCTTTAGGACACTTTTTACATTTTCCCCCGTCAATTTCCAATATTTCACCAGGCGGACACGGAACACAAACCCAACAACATCGCTTATCTTTGCCGCCTTGTTGGACATTCTGGAAATGAATTTTAGTGTAAAGAAACATTTCGTTGATGATAGTTAACAAACGATCCAACTAAATGAAGAAATGTCTTTTTAATTTTTTTCTGTATTAGATTAGGACCGAACACAGCATAGAATGTTCTCTAAAAATTCGCATTCATGCGGAAACCTTCATTGCTGGAGGATTTACCCATATTGAGTGGCCACTTTAGAGTTTTTTTTTTTTTGCAAACGAAATACAAGTCTTTTGAAACTCGAAAAATATTAAATTTTGAAACCAACCAGCAGCGGCGGAAAACAGGTCTAGGAAATAAGCACTAATTTTTAAATAGGTACTTCAAACATTGCAAAAACATTTTTTTTTTGTTATTATGTGCTCCATAGATTCCGTCCCAAACAATTGGAATAATACAACACCCTCAAAAGTGAAACTTTGTAGAAAGGATATTTATTCAAGCTAATTTCGAATGGAGCATAATTTATTTTCAAAAGAATACCAGACCACATCTGTAATGAGGCTCTTTCAAGGAAAGTTTCATTAACTTGAATTCAAACTTAAAGTTTTTAAGTGCGCGAGTCCTGAATGAGGTGCACTTCTCATTTACCGTAAATATACAGTAGTTAGAAACTCTCTCCTTGAACAGCAATTATGTTGAATAAAAACATTATTTTTATCATTTAATTAAAAATGTTTGAACACAAAATAAGAATACGAATTATTAGTTAACAATGGAAAAAAGAAATTGCATGCCTAAGTTGAATTTCTTTGTCAAAGCAATACAAAACCTGCAGCCAGCAAAAGTTTCAAAACGAATTATTCAAAGACAATGGGGCCAACTAATTAATTAATTAAGCTCTCTTTTGTGAACTTATGAAATCATACCTTGTAGTAACCCTGGGGACAATCCTCGGCGCAAACACTTTTAACAATTTTCTTGGACCTTATTTCGGGAAATTGCGGATTTTTCGTCCAAACGATGCTTCTATTATTCCAGCTGCCCACTTGGACGTAATCGTAAGTGCCGTCTTGAAGCTTTTGAAAGTTCATTATATCGTAACGGCCCGGTGGATCTCCGTTTTCGTCAAATTGAAAAATTTCACCGTCATAATCAAACGAGACGTTCATTAAATATGTCTAAAATAAAATTGATCATATTCTAATAAATTATGGAATATTACAAGAAGTGACTACTAGTAACTTGAACTATAAGTTACGAGTAATATGATATGGTTTGCAGTTAAAGAAAGAAGCGAATAAATGCAAAATCAAAATGCATTGTCTTGCTACAACATTACTCCAAAAATATAATAGTTTTACCATGTCCTCTAATTTAACCACAAAGCGAGACAGATTCAATTCAGATAAGTTGTCGACAAAGCCTGAGATTAATGCACTATTCCAAAATTCTAAAGGAACTTTTGAGTTTAAAATTATCTACATACTTACTTTAAGTAGAGATCCGTTAAAAGGTAAAATTTTGTCGCAAACACCCAAATTTTTACCACAAATATCTTGTTGCATGTCATGTAAGGCGTGAGCCAGGGTGTACAAGGCTTTAATAACGAAACTCAATTTAGCATCTTGCTTGTAATTCTCTTCCAATCTTTCGTTCCCAGTGCAAAAATTCGAAATAATCCCATCCGACGTGCTGGCTGTAACGTTCAAATAATCGTCAACGTCGTAAGAGTAATCGGAAGTCGAACTCAATATTGTCGCGTCCGTTTCCCGCTCTAGTGTATCCGATATTTCGGAGCCTTTCAAAATACATTGGAACTTCGTTTCCCAAAATTCTTTAAACCAAGGATTTCTGGTATTTGATTCGGGCCGTAACGATAAGTAGTATTTATCGAAAGACTCGACGTGGGGCGAATGGATTCGGATTGACAAGCCACCCCAGGCTTGGTTCTCGTAATTTCTTGTTACGTCGTTACGATCGGCCCAACCATCACTAAAACATTTTTTGTTGGTAAAATAAAAATTTGTACGATTTTTCTATAAACTATCGGTAATAGTTTACGATCACTGTAAGTGGGCCTATGAAAACAAGAACATACCTATACATATATGTGAGACAGCGGCTCACAACCTCGTTTGCGAGGGACGATCAACAACAAAAAATAGCTCTGAGAGCTATTAGAGATACAGGTATACAAGTTGCCTTTAATAACCGACAACACCATCTGCAGCCAGTTAAAATCAGCAAAAATGTGTCTAGTTAGGTGTAGAAGTCTGTTGGGAAAAACATAGGGTTTGAGACCAAGGATGATGATTTGGCTGTACGCCATAGTTGCATACGGAGCTGCAATAATGGTGGACAAGAGGAAAACTTCAGCCCGGCCGTTATTTGCTATTTATCGGTCTTATAACGGTAATAACTATTTGTCGATTTTGGATTTTATTTTTAATTTTTTTTTAAAATTTATTGTGGTCGCTGTTAGTTGGGGATTTTTTTTTTGCAAAATATCTCAGTTGGTAACACTCACTTACCAACCAATTGACAGGTGGATTCTATTATTTTAGGAGGTTTGACAATTTTGAAGGTACCAATAGATATACTTCAAAAACTGAATATCACTAAAAATCTTTGAAGAATGAGCTTCATTCTTCAATGATTTTGCGTGTAAGAATAATGAAATTCTCACACCAAAATCGAGAAAAATTAATAAAACCCTAAACCAAGTGTACAACAAAACATGGTGTCAGGTGTGTTGCCAAAAATAGCTGAAAACAAGGAGGAGCCTCTGCTCTCCTCCTCCTGATGGAAACACATTTCCCAATAACTACATAAATGCAAAGTAAAGTAAAATGGAATACTTCAAGCCCCCAGATTCATTTAATGTGCAAGAGCCGACTGGATGGCCAAAATAGAAATAGAAGTTTGATATCTTTCTGCTCGCTTCAGGAAAAGATACAACAAATAAAAAGATAGAGGTAGCATTACTGTTAAATATCCTTGGTGAAACATGCCTGGATATCTACAACACGTTTGATAAAACAAAAACTAGCAAGTTAGAAGATGTTTTATCTTGCTTTGATGATTATTTTTTACGAAAAAAAAAATGTGAGTATGAAGATGTTTAAATTTGATAATATACAGCAAGAAGAAGGCCAGAATATTGAATCGTACTTAACAGAATTAAAAAAGCAAGCAGCTAACTGATCGTTTATTTGTGAAAAAGATCAATGCAAAACTAGTTATGCTGAAAGAATGATTAAAGACAGAATTGTACTAAGTATATTCTATTCACAATCCATAATCCAAAGGTTAAGGTAAATTTATCACCTTTTCCTATCAAATAGCACTGAAAGGTGATAAATTTTACCTTTACCTTTGGACCTTGGGACATCGGATTGTGAATAGATAATAGGTATTTTTGAGGGAACCAACAATGTTTTTAGACAAAATGCTAGAATATTGTAGGAGTATTGAGGTAACAATGAAACATGTTGAATTATTGAATAATGGAACAGGAGAAACACAAGAAGTCGATGCACTTAAGTTTTCTGGCAGATGTGGAAGATGTGATTTTAATCATCAACCTAGACTATCCCGCTTTTAATCAAACTTGCGCAATTTGCCAACGCAATGGTCATTTTGCGAAGGTTTGTTTTTTGAAAGACAAGTCACAAGAGCGAGGTGGTAGTTTTCACTAAAAAGAAGCAGGAAAAAAGAAGACCACCAGAAAAAAAAGACAAAAAGAGACTGAGATTAAGAAACAAACGTCAGAAGTTCAGGTCTTGGACAATCCGCATGTTGCTAAATTCACCAAAATGGTGCACCGCCACGGATGCGGTAATTATAATTCACTAATGCCAATGGCAAACCACAGCTTGTCAAACCCTGTTTAATTTAACAACAGTGCTTGTTCTACCATTCCACCACGGTGCCTAAACTAGCTGAATTTAGCCACACGCGGAATGTGAATATTCAAAATTGACGTGTCTCGTAATACCTTGTGTGCGCGCGCAACTCGTGGGTTGCAGGTGAGCGTCCAATGAAAATCGAGTTTTTTACGGGTTTGCGACATATTCGTATTCAGGGACGAGTTCAGAATTAATCGTTCCTTCTTTCTTTGTAACGTGAAATTAGACAAAGAACAAACTAATACTTTACGTATTACTTGAACTTATTGCAGTGTCGTTTAAGGTTACCTATGTTAGATTATACTTGACATATTCCTTGGCAATTTCATTGAGCGATGTTGCCGGATGAAACATTTATCAAAATAAAAGTCCCATCGATGTTAACATACACTTTAAAGCTCTTATTTTGTCTGATTTAAGGCGTGGTAAACACTTGACAATATATCATTTCTTTAATGTTATAATGTTCGATTTTTATTGTCTACATTTGTTCTGCAACAATACAATCTGGCTACACTGCAGCCACGGGTTGCGCGCGCATGTCATTTTTTATTACTTTCTAACTTGTTTTTATTACAATTAAGCTCTCTTTTTCTATTTCTGCGAGACACGTCAATTCTGATAAGTAATGAAATTACAGGTAGGTACCTGCTGAAAGTTCTATTTTTATTCATGAACAGAGACAAAAGATTCAAAATAGTAGCTGGTATGAACCTATTACCATTAATGATATTGACATTCAGTTCAAGCTTGATACTGAATCTAGTATTTCACCTTTAAAATATTTCAGTGATTTGAATATTGATAAATCCAAAATTATTCCAACAACCATGACAGTTATTTCTTATGGCAATTTGAAATCTTAGCCGTTAGGTGATTGTTTACAGAAATTTAGAGACAACCTCTATGGAGACAACATCACAACAATCTGTTCAGATGTGAATTAGGGGTGTCCAGTTGACTACGACAAAGTGGAAGAGTGTAGAGTGTGCTGAAAGCTTAGTGTGTGATCCGGCTACTGCAGAAGTTATGGACGTAATAAAATCTTTAAAAAATTAAAAAACCAGTTGGCCATGATGAGATACCCGTTTGTTTCGTTAAAGCGATCGCTGAGGAAATCATAGGTCCACTTACATATAGGTATAATAAATTTGTCACTTGAAACAGGACTCTTACCGCCGTGAAGATTGCTTTAGTGAAACCTATTCTTTAAAAAGGACCAAAAAATGAGATAAAAAATTATAGACCAATCTCTTTGCTTCCAAACCTGAGCAGTTTCTGAACGTGTAATTTATAAAACAAATAAAATAGTAAACGATAGACAAAATGGCTTAAGCAAAGATCGCTCCTCAGTTAGAGAAGTATATGTTGCGCTAGAAAAAATACTAGAATCCATGAACAAAAATAGAAACACTATATGGCCGTTTGTCTTGATTTGACTAAGGCATTCGACAGCGTTGATCATGAGATCCTATGTAGGAAATTCGAATTATGTGGAGTCCACGGTATGGAACTTAAACTTGTAAAATTCTATATAGAAGAACGAAAACAGTGTATAACAAAGACTACAAATAATGGAACTGAAATACCATCAAACTATGAAACAATAAAAAAAGGCGTTCCTCTGGGCTATACTGGGACCTTTTTTTATATTATTTATACAAATGAGGTGATAGATATCTTGAGAGATGAGCTTGTGGCTTTCGCAGATGATAACTTGGGGGCTTACGCAGATGATAACTTGGGGATCTTCAGTGGGACGGACGTTGACCATTGCATAAAATCAGTAGAGGACTGCTTAGATTCTGCTGAGGACTGGTTTAAAAGTCACAATTTAATGCTAAATGTTGAGAAGACGCAGTTCATAAACCTCAAAAAAAAACATCAGCCAAATAGTATTTCGATAAACCACAAAAACTTCAACATAGAATCTGAAAAGAGCATGTCACCTTCTTGGGAATCGTCCTGGATCAGCAACTATAGTTGAATCAAATCGAAGCGGCAGTAATGACATTAACTGGTCATTTTCATTACAACCTATCAAATGTCCTCCGTGCATGCGCACTGGTCCTGTTAGGGCGTTTCAACCAATAGGAAGGCTGGTATTTGTTTACAATTTAGGTTATTTAATGCCATTACTACCGCTTGAATTTAATTCAACTATAAACTAGAAGCCTCATACAGCACAACTGGCCACTCGACTGGGTCAATTCGGTTATGCCATAAAGAATATAGGAAAGAAGGTCGGTTTTGGGGCAGCTTTAAATGCGTTTCATTCCTTTGTTCAGTCTCGAGTGCGGTATAGTGTTATTCTCTGAATCTGAAAGGATAATACCTAAAGCTAAAGAAAAGATGCATGTGATGATTGTGTGCACTTAATAATAACAGAGATAGTTGTCAAGAACACTTTATGCAGCATGGGATTTACACTGTATATAATCTTTACATGGAATCTGTGTGCTTCATTCCTGACAATTTCTCTCTTTTCGAAAATTTCGAGGCCAAACAAACACTCACATGATACTAGACAGAAAAGCAATCTTAAGACTGAAGTCGCAAAATACAATTATATCCAGAAAAATGTCAAGCGCAGCATTCTGGTCTGATGGAATCATTTGCCAATAAATCTAAGACAAACAACCTCAAAAAATATAAAAACTAAAATAAAATAATTCCTTCTGTCAAAATTATATTATAGTGTAGACGATTTCTTTGTAAATCAGAGTATAAAAGAAATTATTTAAAAATCACAAAGGACCAACGGTAGGTATATATTTCAAATTTTGTGTATTGTATGTTGTTACTGTTGTCTCATTTGTTCCGGGCCAATCCCAAAGTTTTTGGGGTTAGTTCAAGGATTTTCTACTGATAACGTTTTGGCGTCGATCATTTGGGTTAGTTTGAGAGTTTTTTTCAACACTCCTTCAAGTATTGTAACAAGGGCACCTGAGCCTGGGAACGTGTTAAATACCGTATAAAAATCTCTAGATCGGCGGCGCATTTGATCTGAAGTTTCGGAGGTTTGACCCGGGCCAATCCCAAATTTTTTGGGGTTAGTTCAGAGATTTTCTACTGACAACGTAT